GGTCTTGTCTGGCAACTGCAAGTTGCCGAAAATTAAGAGTGCGATTGTTGAGCTCGTTGTGGTTGAGTGAAAATACGTGTGAACGAACCTTAAAATGCAAAACAACAAACTGAAGACAACAATAGCCGTCGAAACAAACATTTGAAATTGTAAAACAGCTTGAGAAACCTGATAGGACACCTCCGTCCCTCAGTTTTATATGCATTTTCTTCTACAAAAATAGTATTGGTATAGTATCTCATTGAATTTCTGAACAACTGAATTTCTTAAGACCAAAACAAACCCTGTTAAAGTAAAAAGTATTCTGCTTTAAATTTATTTCTTCTTTCTTGTTTAAGGTTTACAATGACCTGGTAACTTACTTTTACAAATTCAATTTATCATTCAGAAATTAGTACCACTTGTGTTTCGAAAATCCGTCAATTTGTTAAGATTAAGCTGGAAAAACGAACCATAAACGTTTCTTGCTATCACCTTTTTTAGAATCTTTAGGCTAAGGCTTGGGGCCTTTATAAAGGCATCTTCATTACTCATTATACATATTTTCCCATTTCCCTTTGAAGGCCCGAGAAATACCTCCAAACGTATTAGAAAGTTATTTCATCGTTTTTCGTGGCGAATAGAGCCACAAAAAAATTCATTTCCTATGAAATTCCAATTTGGGGGAAGTCAAAACAGATATACGAAAATGCCAAGCACAATTATCTTGAAAATACAAAAAAAAAAAAAAAGAAAAAACAGTCAACACACCGTGGGCGAAATGAAGCCAATTGAGTAAAAATAAAAAGTGGGGGGGTACGACAGTGGGACACTTGGACAGTTTGACTGATCGTCATCATCTTCATCATTACCACCACCACAAACCATCATCATCATCATGGACGTCATCATGATCGAATGGGCAATTTGTGCGACGCTGATTCATCTCCCGGAGACACAAATTTATTTGGTTATCTAAGTACACACAATTAAAATCCATTAAAATATTTCCATTTCCATCATAAATTTTCATCAACATGAATTTGTGGTTTTATTTCATTGCTTTTACCCTAAGCAAGTGGATATTATAACTTTTTAAACAATATTGAAGTCTTTAAAAGGCAAACTTTAAATTAAAAATAATACTTGAATTACTAAAGACAAAGATGACATATACATTTTCCTATTCTATTTACTAAGAGTATTTAAACCTTCGGTTCTGCCCCACCCCATTTTCGTTATTAAATATGATGTTTGTTTTGTCCAAATGATGAGCTCATGTTTCGTGGGGCGTTTTTCGAGACTAAAACTGCTAATTGTCGGACATGTGAACATGTGGCACCAATCATATTTGACTGCCTATCGTTTGGATGTGCCACGCCTCGAACTATCGGGTCAGGGTCACCACTCCCCCGAAAGATAAGACCCCCCAAAAAGCGAAAGCGCTCCCGAAAAGAGTTTGAATTGTGATAAGTGGTCAGGGTGTAGATCCCATCTTCACATAACATATGAGGCCCGTAATTATAATTGCCTGTGCACTAATTGGCCAAGTCGATGATGGAAATTTGTGGAATGCCAAGTTGGGGGGCACGGAATGGGGGCAGCAGCCAAAGTCAGGGAGTTGGGGCCGCAATCTGAATTGGTTGTCAGCGATAAGGAAATGAATTGTGCAGAGATGAAGGCCCCCCGAAGAACAAGAAGATGGGCAGACAGAAGCGTAGGGAAACTTAAGGAAGTTCTTAATAAAGGGAAATATTACAGTTTATAGTTAACTAAAAATGCCAGAAAGTCTTAAGTGTCCCAATTCATTTTTGAAATAAATAAAACACGGTCATACATCATTAGTTCTGGACCCCCAGATAATGCCTACTCATCCGCTGTGACCCAAATTTTGTGACTCGACGATTGCCAACAGCACAAATTGTGATGTGTCAATTTTAGTGCGTATGAATCCACTTGATACCCGAGAGTCCACATTTCCGAGTTAGATTAGCCGGGTACGGGTACGGGTACGGGTTCAAAACCGAGTCAGAAACGAAAGAGTTGTCTGTCCGGCGGAGTGAGTGCTCCGTAATTAGTGTGCTTTGATGGCAGTTTAAATATTCATTCGTAATCTGTCCGCCTCTTCGTCTCCGCCGACCAACATCATTGTGTGCTCCAAAAGTGTTGCCCACATCACAGACACGTAGGGTATTCAATGGAACACGTATGCATATACATATATATGTGCTCAAATATACATATATAAATTATATAGCGGCCTCGACACATACCGAACTGAGATACAGCCCCTGCACTAGACAAATTCACATATTTGCCAGTGTGGCTGTGCACTACAGTGCGTATCAACAGAGCTGGGCCAGCTACTATATTTCAGACTAGAAAATTCAACATTTTAATAATATAATCTCAAATGCAATGTTCTAATATAATATGTTTCAAATTCAGTTGAGGAGTTGAGTAGAATCACTGCAATGAAAGGTCTAAGAGGTCAAGATCCACTTAGAAGAAACAGCTCTCAAAACCGATCTGCCATTCTTAAAAGTGAGTCAAGATCGATTCAAAATCAACTTTACGTAGTCAATAATGATGTGTTCTTGGTTTGCGAGACTTCTTTAAACTCGAGAAATAACATCGAGACTACTTTTTTCTAAATTCCAAAATCGCTTAATCTCAAAAAACAAATTCAAGAGCATTTTTGTCTTGATTTCGAGAACGTTTCTTCTTGAATTAGTGAAATCAAGAATTCTCCTTCCTTTTTTTTCCTTCCCTTTCTCAATTTTTCTAGGTGTACAACCAATTTCAGTTCCAGATAAACGTGTTAAAATGGTTTTTCTCAAAAATTTCGTCTTCAAGTTTTTAAACTCTTGTGTCATGCTTAAAGTGTGTTATGAAACGCACTGTTTGTAGGAATATATATTCGTTTACCTGACGCAGGTCCCCTCTTGAAGCCCCTGGGCACATAATCATCCCAGTAATCAGCACCCCCCGCGTGTTGTCACGAACAATTTATGCGCTCTGCTTGTTTCGCACATTTCTCATCTCTTCTGCTTTTATTTTCCATTCCACTTGCCTTTGTTTTTCTTTTAGCATCTGTTTTTATTTGTAGTGTATTATTTGTCTGTTGTTATTTTGCAAGATTTGCAAATGCATCAGCATTCCTCACCCATGCATCGCTGTATTTTTATTTGTTGCATTTTTATACTTTGTAGATTTAAGCACAAAATTCCAGTGAAAAATCGAATTTGTATTCGGTTTTTTTATTCTTCGTTGGGATGGGCCCATAAAAATTGCTGGGCCGAAATTTAAAAATAAATTTCCATTGTTGTCATAAAAAATATTTGTTCTTTTCGTGAAAAATGGAATGACGTACGGAAGTTCGTTTGTCTAAAAGGGTGGGCTATATGTATGGTATGGTATTGGGGTCACTATAAAAATGAAGAATAAAATATGTCCGAATTTCAACGACTTCTTGTCACACAATTTTAAATTGATTTTTCTATTGTTAATGGCTTCATTACTTAAATATCGACTGATTGGATTTATTAAACATACATTTTTATGATATTTATATTCAGTTAGTCGAATTATTGGACTTATCATTTACCTCATAAAAGCCAATAACACAATTATAGCCTGAATGCTCTTTGGTCGGATTTCCCATCAGGTAGTCATTTACCAAATCCACTCAGCTTTTCTAACCCCCCCAACGAATCCCCCCATTTGAAGTGACTCATCTTCAACTAATCAACAAAGTGCAGTCAATTGCCTGGCAATGTAGAGCATGAATAATTATGGGGTAAATCTACTGAGAAGTCGGTCGGAAATCGGTGGGCAAACTGGGAGCCGAGGGGCAATTAAATGATTGGCAATGATCATGAAATTTGATAGCAAATGTGCCAGCATACTCGAGACAGACAAACTGTCTGACTGACAAACTCTTCTGTATCTGCAATACATGTGGGCTCATTGCCAAAGGCCAAGGGAATTGAATGGGTGTAGGGGTAAAGTCTACAGTGAAATATCTATAAAGTGAACCATTGTTGGTTGGGCAGAAAGGAATGGAACACCTGCAGTTGTCTGCTTTTTATTATACCGGTTTACAAAATTGCATTGTCAAAATGCTACAGTTTTTGTGAGGTATTTATCTGTTCTAATGAACCGATTTTGTTCACCATGGGTTCATTTAACTAGTAAAATAAGTCTCTTCAACTTTTCCATACACGCTATAGAGTTTCGGTAGGGTGTCAGATCTTTGTTGGGAAAATTCTACATAAATTATTGTTGCTTCTGAAGAAAAAACGAAAGTTAAAGTTATCGAAGTACGACTTTATGTTTATACGTAACTTCCCCATTGGCATTAGTCTCCATAATTCGAGATGCAACTGCAACTGCAACTGCATCTGCCTCATTATCTTCGGAAACGATGTGCATGATTGCCAGAGAGGCGATTTGTCAGTTGCTTAGGCCCCCCTTGAAAAAACTTAAAAAAAAAGAAAAGCGAGCAGCACTTGGCAGTTTATTGTGCCAGTTCTTTCCCACACTCGCCTGCCCAATAAAGTGTGTAAGCTCTTGAGTTTTGTGGGTGGCGACAAGTACATGGAACATTTGTCGGCCCAAATGAGCATTTTGCGCGGTACGGGGCTGGGAAGAAAATCCGGAAAATGTGTGGCAAAGAGGTGCCAAGAACTGTGCAAAGAATGGCAGGATGATGAAAGGAAAAAAAAACTCATTACTGGCTGCCAAGGCACTCCAATAAATGGCATTTCTTTCGCCTGCCATGTAAATCTTGGAGATGGCCCTGAGCTCTACGATTTACAAAATGGGTTTTCTTGTCAGAAAATTCGGTTGAAATTTTAGATTTTAAGCGGTTACACATTTATCAACTCTTAGGAATCAAAGTGGATTCATTTTAGCTTATAATTTTCAAATCTATTCTAAATACAGTTAATTGAAACAAGTATCAATAAAGATTGAGTCAATAACATTTATGTATGACTTTTCTATTTTATTTTCCCCAGAATGTGGTGGACCATCACTGGCAATTTCGGCAACATTCTGCCCATCGACTGGTCCAAGTCGTACACCCGTCAGATGCACATGCCCACCCTGAATCTGGGCCAGAACCACACAAAGCAGCAGCAGCAGATGCGCAACCAGCAGCAGCAGCTGCAAAGCCAGAGCCAGCAGGCGTATCCACACAGCAACGGTTCGGGATCTGGAGGATCCGGGCTGGATGCCCAGACACCGGGCGATGAGTTCAACGATTTGGCCAGCGAGGACGAGGCGGTGGCCAACGACCTAGACATGCACGCCCTGATCCTCAACGGATTGAATGGGGATATGGACGATCAGCCGATCAAGACGGTGGAGGAGGTGATCAAGGAGATCGACGACATCATGGACGAGGCCGAGAGCCCACTGGACGAGCCGGATAACTGCGATTCGGAGGTCATCGAGAAGGCGCGAGAGGTCCTGGGAGCGCCCCTTTATGCGGAAAGTAAGCATGCGAGCCGCATATCATATACAATATTCATATTCATAATAAAATCCTTCCCAGAACTGCAATATCTGACCACGACACAGTTGAATGAATTGTACATGGAGATGGAGGTGCTGATCCAGGAGCTGAGCGAGACCCTCATCAACGAGCTGGCCCTGCGCGACGAGCTGGAGTTCGAGAAGGAGCTGAAGAACTCCTTCATCTCGCTGCTCCTCGCTGTCCAGAACAAACGGCGGCAATACCATGTGGAGAAGAAGCGCGGCAAGTTCCAGGGTGAGTTTCGAACAGCTCTCAGAACTTTATGTATAGTATTGAATATCGAACATAACATACACCCCCTGCAGGTCCCGAACCCAAGTACTTGACCACTGTCATTCCGTATCACCTGGAGAACGGCACGCCCAACAACCAGTCCCTACAGGTCCTGATCAAGAGTAAGTATCTTGGCCCTAACCTAATTGACTATTGTATAGGTCTCTCTAACCTGTAATTCCCTTTCAGTTCTCAAGGCCATCAACGAGGACAGCCCGACAGTTCCGGCCCTCCTCACGGACTACATCCTGAAGGTTCTTTGCCCCACATAAGCGCCATAAGCGCAACTGCAGTTGCCGAGGAGCAGGAACCCCAGCTATCGCTCTATCTCTCTGTCTGTGTTTATACAATTATGCCGTACATCTATATACAAGTTGCATATACACACACACACACACACACATAATTTAATAATTAGTTTGTACTTTAAATTATTGTTTAAATACTGGGGCAAAGCGCATTTGTTTGCCTTGAGACGAAGAAGATTTCCACATGAACAGGAGTACGCCAGGAATCTCTAGTGATGCGAGGAACATTTCTTTGAGTGTCTTTTGTCAGGCATCCAAATTGGAATTTTTCCATCACCAAAGTCCCTTCTTTGGCCGTTAACCGATAGAACAAACAAAAATATGCAACAAAATATACATGTAATACATATATAGACACTTATATATATATATATAACTAACGAAATATTTACGGAGAGAGCGCGCTATAAGGAATTAGCCAGTCCTCCACATGGCAATAATACTCACTGCTCCGTCGCCTCTTTTTCTCCCAATAACGTCGAAGAAGATATTTATACTAAAGATCATTATTCGTATTGTTATAGAGCTGACTCCAACTAAGCTTACAAAATATACTGATATGATAAATGCATCCGAGGCCAGTTGCAAGTCTCCCCGCAACCGACAAAGCTTCAAATAATCCATCTATATGTGTAATATCCAAATCGCAAACCGTATACCGCTTGCATTTTGTTCGCCCAGCTTTCTGCAATCGAACGATCGGGCTTATCTGTGTGTTCGGCAGCCAATCCAATCCAATCCAATCCAATCCCTAGTTTGTACAATAAGTAACATGTATGTAATATATAACTTGATTGTAAGAGGTGTATGGCCTGTATATGTCCCTGTCCCTGGAAAATCCGCCGTTTCCAAATGTGTTCTGAGTGCAATTTTTATCATTTGAGAGGGGCATCAGAATCAGAATCAGTTGAAGTAATTGTTTTCGCTTCGCTTTAAGTTTTACTATACCTAATTTACTCATTTTTATTGTTTTTACGAGGCCATAAAATGCGTTCTGTTTTGTTCAAAACAATTGTTTAATGTAAATGAAGGAAACACAAATTTAATTTTAATTTGCATAGAAAACGCTGTGTTATTTACTTTTACCAAACAAGCATATATAATAACTATTAAAATAAAAGAAAAAAATAGCTAAAAATCAGTCAGGCGCACAGTGCTCTTCTTTTTATTATGATTACCAATAAAAAAAATATCTTTTTTCTTTACCTTTTAAGCTACCAGTCACACTAACAAAGCAAACTTAAAACAATAAGCGATTAAGGAGGAATAAAAGTATAAAACATACATATAAAGTTGCGTCAAGTCCAAAAAGAATCACACTTATATCATGTTTCACATCTCACAAGACAAAAACTAAAGGAAATGGAGCTGAAAAAGCAAAAAGGTCGAAAGTTCGAAATTTCGAAATTTCCAGCCCATTTAATCGGCTCTTCAAGTAGAAGGATAATTGAATCACATCTAATGCAAATCTTAGGTACCTTTGTTAGTAAACGATATGCAAGACATACATACCCTGAAATTGAAAACCTATATAAAAGACAACACACACAAGTGAAACTGCATAAATGTTTACGACTCCATATACAAAATATAAATGTATATCAAATACGGTCGCGCTTTATAAATCAAATGAAAACGTATTTACTGAAACGCAAAACTTTAAATGGAATATGACTTTGTTAGGTCTCTGCAAAGTAAACAAAGAAAAACAAAAAACAAAGGCTATATAAATCATATAATATGATACAAAATTAAGAAGGAATCCCTTAACTGTACGTGTATTTGTAAATTATTTGAAGAGTCCATGTTAAAGTCGAATGAAAAACAAATAAATGACAGCCTAGAATGGAAATTATATTTATTTGATAAATTAGTAAAAGGAGAACACAAAATACATAGTTCTATGTACAATGGACAAACCAAAAAACTTTTAAATTGCTTGAATAAAAAGAAGAAAAACTAAGAGCTGGTAGTTGGTATTTGGGATTGGGAAAGGGATGATGAGGATGGTAAATTTTGTACTGATTATGTCTTATAATATGGCCTAAGCTGTTATACTAACAGGTGAGTTTGGTAGTCATTTGAATCAACGTAACGAAGTCTTTAAATTTAAGTTTAGTGTTGCAAAACGCTCCGTAACTAACGGTATGTTAAGGTATTTCCATTTTTGAAATCAACCACGTCTCCGGTTGAAGTCCGCGCTAAACGTGTATCCAAGATCGCCACCCCTCGCGACTGGCACATTGTAGTTGTTTTTTTTCGAATCGCCTGGCCACACAGCACTGCCCAGTAAAAAATAGTTTTTTTTTTGTATCCAACCAACCAACTGTAAAAATAAGTTTAAACAAAGCATCTACTCATAAGTTTCATTTTTTTCCGTTAAGTGTCACTATTATTTATTTTTTAAGTGTGCTCGCAATAAGAAAATGTCATCGCGAAGGTAAATCCAATAGGAAATACGACAATGTACCGCACACACACGCACGCAGTCGCGCACACACACACACACACACGCACGCACGCTCCGCTCCCAACTGGGCTATTTACATATGTATAAGTAGATACAAAAGCAAAGGCAGAGCGAAAAAAAGAAGAAAAACAGAAACAACAAAAAGAACAAAAAAAAAAAACTGAAACTGTTGAGATAAAAAGTGCAATAATGTGACGTACGAGGGGAGGAAGTGGAAGGTGTGGAATAGTGGATGCAGCAGAACCGTTACTGCTGCACTGCCACAGCTGTTGCCCACCGAGTAATCAGTGCGGTAACTAGTGACAGTGGAGAGTGACCCAAAACCATGATATTCGGACACCCTAATGCTCTAACAATGGCTGTACAGCACATGCCTAGGATCCAACAGTACCTAGTGCTATATCCCTTTTGCCCACCGGTCCTCAGTGACAGTTGACTATACCTACACCCCCTACGTTTGCCCGCCCCCCCTCCCCCTCCTCGCAGGGGGTAACCGGTTCAGTAACCAGTAACCAAATTCTATGCCCTCTCCGCAGATGGTTCCACCCAACGATATCTGGCATCGAAGCTGAGAAATTGCTGCAGGAGCAGGGATTCGATGGCTCCTTCCTCGCCCGCCTCTCCTCCTCGAATCCGGGCGCCTTCACGCTCTCCGTGCGCCGGGGCAACGAGGTGACCCACATCAAAATCCAAAACAATGGCGACTTCTTTGATCTCTATGGCGGTGAGTGATGCTCGTCTACAAACCCCCCTCCCCACCCGTTTGGCCCACCCATTTGACCGGTGTGAATCTCCTTTCGTTTTTTTTTGCAGGTGAAAAGTTCGCCACACTGCCGGAACTGGTACAATACTACATGGAGAATGGGGAGCTGAAGGAGAAGAACGGCCAGGCCATCGAGCTGAAGCAGCCGTTGATCTGTGCCGAGCCCACCACGGAAAGGTGAGTCCCGTCGCGAACTAAACATATATGGTTATATATATGAGACATGGTCCTTGGAACCCTAGATGGTACGGATAGGATGGTATAGCACGGTACTTACCTATCAACATATCACAGAGTGCTGTGGTTTTGCGGAACTCAAACTCCCATTTCGATGTAATGGCGTGAAGATGATCCATTCGTCTGAGATTTATCCACGTTCTAAAAAGAAATATAATGACATTATCGTCTGGGTCCGATTTATTTAAATAAGTAAAGCTCAGAGGCTTGTTTGTTACTATCTAAACTATGACAACAACCAGAAGAACACTTTTCTAATGCAGATTTACTGCAACTTAATAACAGTCTGTGCAGCCGTGCAACCACAATCCAAAAATAACCCCATGTCAATATAACTAGATTCCCTGAAAATTGGGTCACCAGCAAATCGAACCGTTTGTTCTCATAAAAATCCATGACCTACATTTGGTTCCACTCCGCTTTGTCCAAGGATAAATCGTATTTGTTTGCTTTCGGGTCCGATTTATTATTTATACACCATGTTTACAAACGATCTTGTATAGGCACTTTAAAGTATAAACATAAGTTTCAAGCAATTCGCTTATCAGGCTTTCCCTAATTGTTATCGGGTACTGGGAATTCGAGTAGGGGCAGGGCCACATTTTGCATCCCTTTTTCCCCCTTTCCCCATTTATTCTCCCTCAAATCTTTTATTGTTGTTTGGTCTTTTTTTTGTCCAAAATTCCGAACATTCTTATGTTAATAAACATTTAACGTATCAAGTTATGTTTATGTAGACCTTCAAAAAAGGTTTTATGAACTTAGGAAGAGTATGGATTTCTGAATCCAAATCAAATACTTGATGATATAATTTAAGTAAGGTATTCGAATCCTAACTGATTTGTTTGATTTGGCGAAAATATTTTGCAACAAAAATATAAGCAAACATTTATGAACCTTTAAAAGTTGGGGTCAAAATTATTCATTACAAAAACGGAAACTGGGGTGGTCAGTTGAGTGGTAAAGACGACCATAGTATGGGTCAAAATAACCAAACTACAGATTTTAATAACTATTATGAATGCCGGCAACACATTGTCATAATAATAGACCATCCTATTCGATTTCGAACATTTAGGGTACTTGAAGCTTCTCCCTACCAAGTCTTTCTTTTGGTATTGTTTACAATTCACTGAGCTTGGCTTTGCAGCTTATTTTCGAGCCGAGATGAAATTTGTGGGTGAATAATTTCTAATTCCACTTAAATCGGGCACCCACACACCTGTTGCTCACGCAGACACCCACACAAGCAGTGCATTGTCTTCGTTGTCGTTGTTATATTGGCTTTTACAACCCACACGCGCGAAATATTTTCGTTATTTATTGTATTATATTTCTTGCTTATTAATATTTTTTGTGACCGCTGTCTACCGGGGCCATCAAATATTTTTTACGGCCCCTGCTCTTTCATTCTTGTTTGTCGCCTTGTCTTGTTTCTTCTTAACGCTTCTGCTTTACGTTCTTCTTCGTGCGTTGCATTTTCCGTATCCTAACGGGTCAGCCACCTTATGTGGCCACTCCCACCGACGCCCCCTCTAAATTTGGGGGGGGGGGCACTAAAAAAGGAATATATATAGCCCATCTGGAAATTTGGATCTTAACGGTGCTACGTACGTTTGCACACACTTACAGTTGAGGTCGAAATGGTAGTGGTAGAGGTACACCTGAATTTAAATAATAATGGAAATGAAGAAATCTAAAAATACGCTTAGTTTCAAAGCAATTTAAATATACACAGGTGACAATGGGCTCTATCGCTGCCTCGATAAAAACCAGTTTTGCCAGCTTGTAATAGAGGTCTGCTACTTTTTTAATTATTTACATTTTTAATACATATATTATATTTTTGTGCTACCTACTTACTGATCTGTAGACATGGAAAATTCTTTTATTTCTTTTTTTCATTATTATATTGAAAAACTTTTCTGTAGGAGCCACTATTATTCTGAACGCATCTGTTCATCACTGACGTTTGGCTTAACCCTTCTTTAACCCCCCAATCTGGTTTTCCAGCCCCTCCATCAACCACTTATCCTTGACTGAAGCTCGTGACGTTTATGATTTTTTTTCGATTCTGGTTTATTTTTAAAACCCCTCGATCCGAGCTTAGTTTATTTTTAGCCTAAGAAGGTGTTGTATGGTTTATAATCGATCTGCGAGCTGCTAAAATCATTTGATTCGCGATGACGTCAAACAAGGGTTCAGATTGGGTTTGGGATCGAATCGAAACCAATCATATTTGTATTTTTAGGGGTTGGTCAGGGGGTGATTTTAATTTAAGGCTGAGAACGTCAGTCGTCCGAAAAGTGGGTTTATTATGGGATGTGGAAAATTTACGCGGTCAGTTTATTTATAAATCAATTCGTTTGCCTCTGCTAAGTTTTATAAGTCCAAGTAATATGCATACAATGGGGATTATTAGTTCCATCTACAGTTTGGTGGGGTCTGTAGAGAATTGGGTATTTCTATTGAACTGGTTAGGGGTGGGTTGAATACCGGTACTTTACTTTTTATCATGACCTTTCGTACAAATATAGTCTCTTACAATGTTAACTCCACCTTTCATTGGTAAATATTATAATTATGTGGCGAGTAAAACACCTTCAGAGGAATGTGAAAGATGCCAATCGGAATGGGAACCTTGCACGCGGTATTGTCAAGACATTCTCCAACCTTCTCTTCCATTTCACCATCCGATTTCGTTCCCATTGCTATTTCTCGATGTTCGATCTTGACCTTTGATCGAGTTGGAATAACGATTGGGGTGCAACCGAATTGCAAATCACTGGATGAAATGCAGTTAAGTTGTTTTTGTTTTTTGTTTAACAACTTGCCCACTTAATCGTTGCAATTAAAGACGATAATTGTTAATTGCTTTAGTTTCGCGCACTTTCTTCGCATTGCCCAGCCGATCTGTCAAAGAGTAAGACAAATCTGACAATCGTCAATTAAGCTTTCGAATTGTTTGTGTTAGATAATGGATAGTGGATAATGGATAACCAACCCCACGCCACCTCAGCCCCATCCCCATGTAGCAACCCCTTCTCTATTGCCCTCGCCCTTGCCCATCCATCCCATCCATCACACTCTCAAGTGCCTGAAATGCTAAATGCTTTCAATTTTCGCCATTAAGACAAGCCTACAAATGGTTTATAAATTATGCCTTGCACGTAGCTTTAGCTATAGCTGTATCTGTATCTGTATCTCTACCCCAACCTCCACTTGTATCCGTATCTGTATCTAAGGCATCAGCCGTAACAGCAGCAGCAATAAATGTCTATAGAAGGGTACACGGGAAGAAAAATCAAACTTTGTAATCATAAATATTCTATTACACTTGCAAGTGTATAAAAAAAGGCATTTTCTCTTATCTATACAACCTACCTATATATTTAATGGCAAACTTGTGCGATTGAACTGGCTTTGAGTGCCACATATGTATAGTAAAACCTGATATGCTTTCTCAACCATAATTGTAGAAACATCAAATTGATGGTATTTATTAATATTGCTCCAAATATTGTTCTCTGTGCACATACGTAAATGAATTGAATTGTGCAAACACGCACATATTCTCGTCAGTGTGCATGTATTTGGCTGCAGGTACTTTACCGCCCATTTACACTCCCCAAACCCCATCGGCCCCGCCCCTCTAACGCCCACTATCTGTGCCCTCGATCGTGTCATCCATCACATCACAACAAACTGTTGACTCGCCGTCCCCCGAGGAATTTTATCCACTATATCGTCTATATGTATGTGCAGCGATCTCATCTTATTTTATCCCCGGGTAAACAGCATCGCCAGATGCACCCGATTAAGCTGTCGACTCCCGAGTTGACGCTCTGATTATAAAGTGCAAATCGGCGGACTTACTAATGATGCCGCTTAATGCAGGCACAACTGTACTTGCAACGCTCTAGAGTTCCGCCCTGAAGTGCTTGGCAAACCGAACCCAACTAGACCTACTGCTGCTTACATAATACCCATCCAATTCTCGCATATTGATTGTACTTTAATTATAGACATCAAATATTAATAGCCTTACTAAACTGTACTTCCGAGATCAGTGGAAGATCTGCCGATACGATAATCGCGATTTTGAACAAACAATAAAATAATAACATTTTTCAGGAATATTATGATTCTGAAGAATATAGCCAGAAAATTGAGAATGAAATCGATTTTATTATTCATTTTATCTGTGAACCCAATGATATTTAACTTTGTTCACCTGATACCATCAGTTCTTAATGATCTTTCCCTTTGTATATCCCCCGAACTGAATTAAATTTTAAACGCTCGTATGTGTACTCAAATCGAGATAATCGGTCATTATATTTGGTATCCTAAACTGCCCAGCACACGACAATTTAAAGCTCCCGGCACGAACAGCAAATGCGTCCGTCCCGCAATTATATATTCAGGTAAATCCCTCGCTAAAAACCTCACCAAAACCAAAACAAAGAACCACAAAGAAAACGAGGAGAGATTGGAAGCAATAAATGGGGATATGGGATTCGATTCGTGGAGACGCAAAGAAAATGGAAATTGGGGAAGGCCAATGAACTGACCAAAAAAATTCTTCCCCCATCCAAAAGAAAAACTTTTCCGCCGGCGCGTGAGTCCCCGACTATTTGGGAAACCGAACATCTGATCTGGTAACAACAAAAAATTGTTACATGGACGGGGGCTCACGTAGTATTCCATATAATAATATAAATTATGACGAGGATCGTAAATCTTGGGCTATATTTTTGGCTAGTCAAGCAAGGCGAATAGGGGGCGATATCATAAATCTCTAGTGAAAATAGGGAAGCCCACCCAGATACAAGTAAAACTGGGCTTGTCTCTCCCAGGTCTTGTGGCATATATGATCCCCTAAAAATAGGGGATATTATAGAAGCAAACATTTTTGGATATGAACAAAACCTCATTACATTTTAAATGCTGATAAATAGATATTTGTTTTTTTTTTTATGACACTTGATCATCAATTGAAATGAATCATATTTAAAACACCCTACGGCAATTCACATTTTAGCTGACTAATACTACGATTTTACACACGCCCACTGTCAGTGACTTTATGATTTGTAAATTATTTGTAAATAATATAAGTACTTCTCCTAATTGCCTTTCTCTGTCATTTCTTGATTTACCCCTTTTTGGGTGGGGTCCCATAGTACTCAGTTCGAAAAGTGTACAATATACCCAGTTCGCAAATGCCCGATATTATGGCCCATAAACTATATTTGCGAAAACAAAACACTCTGGCGATCGCCGCAAAAAAGTTATGTTGATTCTCGGCTGATTTAGTGCGAACACGTCCGTAGATCAGTCCTTGCAACGACACACAATCGATTGGCTAACCCATTTCGGGGGATTGTCGGTCTGCCACGCTTTACCTACGGATAAGGCCTTAGCTCACCGACCCGGCTTCCATCCCGGGATCTTAAATCCGAATCCGAATTCAAGCCCGAACCCAAAAACCGAATTAGAATGGCGAACAATTAATGGACGGCTCGTAAGTTGTGTGCCTGGCATATAAACTACCCCTTCCCGCCGATAAAACAACAACTTATTAACAATAAATTATGTTTATTTCTTGCTCACTCCCCATCGAACCCGCAAATGGTTTTGGCTGTGCCCAAATGCGGTCTGGGTCTCCAGCAACGATTTCGGGATAGCCAAGGTCGCGGAGCATGGAACTTCTAGGACTGCTTGTCGGCACAGATCAAGTTTATTTCTGGGTTGGGCACCCACTATTGTTTCGGCGTTGCCATAACTTGTAATCTTTTTATAGATAATGTAAACAAGTTGGAAAATGCGAAATTTAAATTGAGCATTAACATATAGTATACAAAGATCAAAGCAGGTGGAAATTTTAAGTTTATAACAATGGTACGTTTGCGATTGGATAGAATCTGGCATAATTTGCGCAACATAACATTATAAAACCAAAATAATTTCAATTTTCTCTTTTTTTTACTTTCACTGCAAGTTCTCCATTGCAATGACTAATATTCTCAACTGACATTCAACTCCGCCCAGAACACCCGTGTGTGGTTTCCATCGGATCTGGTCCATCTGGCTTGAGGCATCCTGTTTGCATTGATGCATGCAAATCTACATGGGTTTCCCCACTTCGTTTATGCTTTGCATTTTCAATTTGTATCGAATTTGTATTTTTGAGAAATTTTCAATCAGAATGATCGGATCGAGTTCAGTTCTAGTTGTGCGTTTCAGCGAAAAACCAATGACGAAATGTTGAAAAAACTAAAATAAACAATTTGTCATCGGGGGGGTGGGTGGTTGATAGTTAAGTGTTGCTAAGATCGCAGTTCGCAGGCAGTCGCACGTCTGCCACTTTTGATGTGCTGGCCAAAAAAAACATATTCTGCGCACGTTCGCTCCTCTGACGTCTGCGCCTGCGCTGTAAGAGAGCTTTTGAGTTACGAGCCTCTAGCTCCCACCTCCCATCTGCCCACTACCCGCCCCTCGGCCACCCAGCTCCTTGCCTAGATGGCCGCCACAATTGTTGCTGTGCGGTTTCAGTTTCATTTCCGGTGGCAGGCAACGGACGGCGCTTAAAGCGCGTTTTATATTTGCTTTTTTCTTACAAGCCAGCAACACACACTCATATCACGAAATGACCATTTTCGGATTGGAATTAATTTTCTGTGTTTGCTTTTCGAAATGTATATGATTCGGATTCTGATTGCGATGAAATCAGTGATTCATCCAGGAGTACAGTCATTATTCAATATGCATAGAGGAAGGCGGCTCAATACGGATAGGTGTTAGCTTGGCACTATCACTTAATTGAAAGTTAAGTGAAAAGTTAGTTGTAAAGTGCACTTTCTAAAAATAAAAAAACGTCCAAGTGGCGTTAGAACTACATATGCATTGTGGCGCCCAACGAGGGGCCCAAGCAGTTTGAAGACCTGCAAGCAGGAGTCAACGGAAAGCAGTGCACACACCCACTGCCAATCAAAGTCTCGCGAAACGTCTTTCGTTTCGTAACGTATTTTTTTTAACATTATAATTGTTGTGACTTCTGGCTCGCTGACAGTAAATAAGGCCCATATACAGAAACCCCTCTCCCGACCAACGAGCTCGGCAGGAAGGGTTAACCGGAGCGGCTGCTGGACTTAAAAACAAAAAGCGCCGTCCGCAGCCAGACAAGATTCAGATTCATTCATACCCCAGCGCTTAGAACACCACCAGCTCCCGCGGAGCGATATACCCACTGTGAGAGCGGAAGAATCGTATCAGAAAGAGAGAGGAGAAGCAGCCGCGCTGAGACAACGTCAAGAATACGAATCCCAATCTGGATCCGAGGCAAAAAGCTTCAGACCCGGCAGCAGGCGCTTCATTCTCGAGTTGCGGTCCAACGGGTTAGCAGCTCAGCCCAGCTTAGCGCGCAAGCAGTCGCCGTTTGTCGATCAGTCGTCGATCGTCGGCAAGCAGTTCATTTCGAGTTTTTTTTCGAGTGGTTTAGTATTTTAAATTCTCTGTTTAAAAAAGCAAGCCGCGCCAAATTATGCCTTCAGCCACATTTGTCCTGGAGCATTTGATGGCGGCACAAGTGCGTCTGAACGAGCAAGCCGCATCTCCTGAAGAGGTCAAAACCAGCACTACAACCACCTCAACCTCCACCACCACCACCACCACCGTGGCTAAAACCATTAAAGTCAAGTCGTATGAGAAGAAACTGTTGCTGGCTCTCAAAAAAATTGTGCAATAATAAACAACACTCTATTTGACAACTATATAGACATTTCACCTTAATCGAGCTGACTAAGATCAATAAAAAAAGAAGGCAAAACAGAAAAACAAAACAAACAGCGGCAAGAAAAAACAAGAATTCTAGTTTTTGTGTGTTTCAGTGTGTGTGCATGTGGGCAAGTTGTTACATAAAAACAAAAAGTAATATAAAAAGCCCAACCAAGACGCATTTTTCCGCAGTGGAATACTACCATTTAAGCCGTTTTTTTTTTGTTTGGTGTGTGAGAAAACGAGAGTGAAGAAAATGCTGTTCAACAAATGCCTGGAAAAGTTGTCCAGCTCGCTGGGCAATGTGGTCAATCACAAGCTACAAGAGAAACAAGTCTACAACAACAATAATAATAATAATAATAACAACAATACTATTAGTATAAACAACAATGCTTATAATAAGCAGCGAAACTTTGAGTACGAAAGGGCTATTCAGGCGCACTACGGAAGTAAGGGAAGGCGATCAGAGGAGCGGGAAAGGAGCGGCAAGTTCAAGGTCGGCAAGAGTCAGAAGTCGAAGGTTACGCCACCGGAGAGCCCAGAAGTTGTCCAGGAGTCGGCCTGCAAGAAGTGCATGACCCACGATGAGCTGGCACAGATCATCAAAGGCGTCGCAGCCAAGAGAACAGGCCAAAGTTCCCAGGAAAATCGCCTCCAGCGGCGACGTCGTCCTCTGTCCGCCCAACCATCTGCCAATGCCTCCGCCTCCACGTCCACGGAATCCCTGCACCGCCTCACTCCCAGCCCCCAGGCCACCGCCTATGCCTCATACCCGGCCACGCCCACCTCCTGGACGGCCACCCCGCCCCAATTCCCAGCCGCCTTTGGCGGAGCCAGCTGCTCGAACAGTACTCTGTCGCTTTTGGCCACCATGCGTGTCCAGCTCCATGGTTACAAGTAAGTTATGGGTCTCCCACGAAAATAATAATCAAATCGGGTTAGCAAAAAATCATCAAAATTTAGCGTAATTAACTGATTTGGGGCGCGTGCGAAATTAAATGTTAATTGTTATCAATGTGCGAACTAGTAATTTGTTAGGTTGCGAAATGAATGATACCCAGCAAAACGGTTGCCATTAATCATAATCTGTTGAAAATTCTTTAAAGTTTTAAAGTTATAAATAAAAAAAAAGTATTTCCTGCACACAAATGGATAATAATACCGAAACATTAGTTTTAAATGTCAAAAATGTAAACTACAAAATAACATTATAGTAACAAATGGATAATGAACAAACTATTTCGTATGAAGGATTTTTAAGATTTTCTAAGGGTATCTTATCTAGTCAAGAACAAAATTGCTCCGTTAGTCAGACAATTTAGATATAATCATCATCCTATCCACACTGTTTGTCAGTCACATGTCGTAGAGTAGCAAACGATTCGAGAGAAATCTGGAGCCAATCTGCTGCCCATTAGCATTAACCCTAATAAGGCAGGCAATCACAGGCAGTTGACGCCGAAACAAAAAAGCAAAAAAACAGCACAACACAAATTGTCATGTGTTCAAAATTGCCACGCAAAATGAGTAAATATTTACGCAAAGCATTCGACAACAAAAACAAGCAATCGTGCTGATGAAAAAAGTCGTAAATTGACGTTCTAATGTATGAATGAATGTCCAACGGAGTGAAGGGAATGAATGTGGAAATGAAAATAGATATGAAAGATCAAAATCGGCACTCAAATATGGTATATCCATCCACCCCCTCTAACACAATTAACCCATTGTCAAGTCAAACATTTCGATATTGATTTTAGCATTTAGAGCCGAAGATTGAGTTGTGGGTGAGGGCAATGGGTAATGGGTAATGGGTTCCCAAGAGTAACTACGCACTTGTTGAACCATGGAGAGTTCGTCGAAATACTCACTGCGGACTTTGTATATCTTGGTCCCACTGCCAGATTGAAATTATCTCTTCACTCTCCTTTAGAATGTTTACCCATGTCTCAGTGTCTGTCGTACGTCGTCCACATTCCCCAAATATTCCATCCAATGCAATACCATACCATACCATACCATACCCTCCCACTCCCTATCCGATCTCAGTGTTTATCTCGGCGGCTTGTGCCATGTACCTCTGTCTGTTTGTTTGTTTGTGTGGGCTGTCCCCGTCTTGAAAGTCTCGATTCGCACATTTCCCCAGAATATTTGCATATATGTTTGTACAATACATATCTATCTGCTGGAGTATCATGTCCCATAAATTATCTTTGACTTTTAGTCGAGCTTAAATTGGTATTATAGTCAGTTTCGGTTGGTTTTATCTATGTTGATGGGAATTGATTAATTATGGGTGAATGTGTTGATTGGCTTGTTGGGTTGATCTATGGGAGTTTTGCCCTCTGGCGATAACATTTAATTGGGATCTAATTTATGCTAAGCTCTTTAGAAATTTTACTTATCCAAAGGCATTAATTGGGTTTTTTTTCAGAAGTAGTATGGAACTTGAAGAATCTTATATCTTATTATCTTTAAATTATTACGTCTATCACTTGTCCTTCAATAGGTAAAAAAATGGGGAAAACTCCCCATTCTGCCCCATATCAACCTTTCCCTTAAATAGCAAATGGAGCAACGATATAAACTTTCGATGTTTTTGTTTTTCTTTTTCGTTATTCGGCTGATAAACGATTTATGAAAATGCATTTCTCGTAATGACTGTCGAGCGCTGCCTTCTGTTTTGCATATTTCCGTTTTTTCCATTGCACAACCGTGTGCCGCTGCCGCTGATCAAATAAAAACGCTTTAATTTGTGCAAATTCATGCAGCCGGCCGACTACAAGATGCTCTCAGTGGAAAGACCCAACTGCAAGGGGGAAAAACTTCACGGAAAGTTTACCGTTCTACCCCAATCTTTCCTGTTGTAGAGTGGAACATCTCCAATTTGTATTTTATTCCCCCAGCAGAGTAAGCAGAAAAAGGTTATTAAACCTAAAATGTAATTTTGTTTAACATTTGTTTTTAAAATCGATAAAAATCGAGCATAATCTTTGCGCATGTTTTGAATAGGCTGTACTTGATTGGACTGCTTGAATCCTTAACTCCACTCACTGCTTCTGAGTGGGTGGTTAGGGTATGTACAAGCAGCTCATTCCATACCCTTCCGAGTTGAAAAGTTAATTAAATGAAGGCCTCGGCTCTCCGATTCCGGACCCCCCACCCCTTTCATAACCCCCATAACACTCGTTTCGCTGCCGCCTTTCCAGGTGCGTTGGCACACAAAAAAATAAATAAACCTGTGACAAACGAAACGATTAAAAACACTCTGAGATTCATACATGTATATTCCGATATTATTGTGTACAAATAAGTTGCACATATTCGTGTATGCATGTAAATCTGTTTGTTGACCTTAGGCGGCGCTTTCATGAATGGCGCGCAGCTTCAGCTCCGTCATCCTTCGTATGTAAATATATAACATTCGTGCATTCTGCTGTAAGTGTAACTGTAAATGATGCAAAATGTTGTGAAATTTTCACTGACGTACTCCGCATTGGAGGTATTACTTCTGTTGATATTTTTGTCGACTGCGATTAAAGCTCGGCCCGATTTAAATCAACGAGGGGGAGAGAGAGCGATCAGTAAAAGTAATTTGTGTTGTGTTGTATTATCGTCACAGTGCTAAAATTAAAGATCAACAGCGAAATATGGGTGGAGACAAAGTTTGGCAGTGTGGCACAAAGGATATGAGAGATATGATCGATGTGGGGTGCGATAATTGTTAAGTTCAACTCGATTTCACGGGGTCAGACGCCAGAGGGCGATGCGTCCCCGAATTTGAGCAATCTGTCTACTCGATGGTCGCAAATAAACGATCGGCTAAACAATACGCAAAAGTGCTAATAGATGTGGTCCGAAAACTGTGAATTGTCTTATGCAAATATCTCGAGAACCTTTCCACACACATATGTGTATTTGAATGTATGTTGAATCATCGCAAAGAATGCGCAGTTCGTAAATACTGGTCATGATCTGGTAAAACGGAAATAGCTTCTTTCTCAAAGAAGAGTAGATTTTATTTACACTTTACTTAAAAACAAAACTAGATGAAGTTAAAGAACCTCTTGTTTGGTACCATTTTAAATGAAGTACAGCTACCTCTGGCAAGCAGTTCACAAGCTTTCGATATATTTCAAGCAGTTCAAGCAAGTAATAGATTTTTTAACTTCCGTTTTGCTAAAAATAAATCCATAAAACTCATTCTTATCACCAACAACCGATCGGGTTCGGGCCACCTTGAATCTGTAACAGGCTGACAAAACAGAGCGAGGAGGCTAGAACGAGATGGCGAATAAGGAGAGAGGGGGACGGACGGACAGACAGCATTGAAATACACGATTGTGTGTGGCTCTAATGTAATGTTAATTGTTTCTACATGAATTTCTATTAATAGCCAAGCCAACGGCACACTCAGTCTCACACGGAAGATGAATTGAATTAGCTAAAATCAATCATAGGTACAGAAAATATTTTTCATAAATATCATAATCGCAAGTTATAGATTACCGTCTTATGTTATATGGTTTACTATTGATTGCTATCTATGAAACAATATACAAGGTGTGATATCTTAAAATAAGATACTCAAGCAAATTCTTATCGAAATGACACAACTTTTGTTTTCTGTGTAGGGGGATATCCGGGGAACTGAGCTCTTGGCACTTCTATGCTGTCGCATACATTATACATGAGTTTTTAGTGTCTCCCTGCCACCACCCATATTCTCGCGTTCTCGATGACATATTTTATGATATCTATGACCCCAGGGGGTACTGAATTGAAACCGGCTTAAGGACAACCCAATGTTGTCAATTGTTGTCTAGATTTGGCTCGAATTCTCCGTATCTTCTTTTTGTTTGATTGGTGGCGACGAACTTTAAAGCGGGCTAAAAGATGGACAAGTCAACGGCAGCACATGGTCGATAATAGCATTCAAAGCAAGTTTTTTAAGTTAGTGTTATTTATGCAAAATAGTAGGAGGGAGGCAAGGCGAAGCAAAACAAAACCAATGAACTGTAAGCCAACAGTGGAGAGGTGTGCATATCGAAGAGCGAAATACGATACATACGAAATAAATTCTAAATTATTTTTCTTTTCCCACTTTGAAAATTTCTTCAAGTTAAAACCGCAGTAATTCTCAGTTTTAAGCTTAATTTAGCCGCCTTTTTTCTATGTCACATCGCAAAATAGTATTTCAATTGCAATTGCCATGACGATGGCGATGGCGATGGCAATCTCAAGTCTGTCAAGTCGAGTAAGCTGAGCAGGCCAGACGGGTCGACTTATAAGTCCCGGGCCTCAAGTATCTGGCTTCGATTCAACTTGCGCTTTTCCACACGGCGTATGCGTGTTTTTGCCACCATCGCTGTTGTTATTGCCATTGTCGCCTTGCATTTGGCTGTTTTCTTCCAAGTTTTGCTGGTGTGTGCTTTAGCACATATATTTCTTACAGTAGGACCTTGTTAAATCAATACATTGAGGCTTAAAAATATTGCACATGAATTTTAAAAAAAAAATGTTTTTAGTGGCTACGGCAATAATTTGTAGGTTTTAATATGTGTAACTCTAGGATATATCCAAATAAATAATAAAAATGGAACAAAAAATGCAGTATTTACTACGGTAAAACGTCTTAAAACCAGTACTTAAAAGCTTAAAAATAATGAATTAATAGAAAATAGCTAGCTATTTCTTTTTGAATATTATTAAACGTTGACAAGTGTTCACCCACACACGGTCATGACTGTACTCATATTCGATTTGTATTTGCGCTGCCTGGTTCCTACTCGTATTTGTTGTTGCTTTGTTATTGGTATTGCGGTTGCTGTTGTTGCCATTTTAGCTGTTTTTGTTGCTTTTATTGGCACTAGTATTTTGCGCTTTTGTGCGCTTCTCGTATAGTTTGTAATTGCATTTTGAGCGCTCACGTAGTCGCTGGTCGAGCACTCAGTCAGTCAGTCAGTCAATAGCTCACTAAGTCCCGTGGATGTGCCATCGATCGGAAGATATATGTAGATATATTTATATATATATTTTTTTACCCAAACTCCATCCTAAAATTCATATCCCTTGTCCCTTTGCAGATGGTTTCATGGCAATCTTTCCGGCAAGGAAGCGGAAAAATTGATCCTGGAGCGAGGCAAGAATGGTTCGTTTCTCGTCCGTGAATCTCAGAGCAAGCCTGGCGATTTCGTCCTCTCCGTGCGGACGGACGACAAAGTAACGCATGTCATGATTCGATGGCAGGTATGTTGAATATGTACCCACTGAACTAACCAGATATAACCATAACCATCCCCATCCCCATCCCCATACCCTCCAACCAAGTTCCCTGCAAAATGCAAATGCAAATCGATGGCAGTATAGCCAGCAACAAAGTCGTACTACCCATAAAGTTCCTCATCGCTCGACCTTGGCTCTATAGTCGAGTCATATGTATGTGCATTTATTAACAGTGCCTGTAGCTAAAACTCTACTGTGTTGCCTCTTTAAGTTGAATATTTAATGACATTTCGCGGAAAATTTGGTTTAAATGCTCTCAAATTAAGTAAAATCTATTATCACATAAAATGTTTTAAAGTTTTCTTGGGCTAATTAGCTACATTTATCGAGTGCTTACTGTATAAAGCACTGCTTGCAGCAGGAGCTCCAACCGGATCAAGCAGTGCAGTTCCAGTTCCAACGTAATTCCCCCAAAACTATTTATTCCACTTTTACTATAACTTTAGCCGTGTGCACGGTTTTTGCGGTTTGCGGTTTGCGGTTACAATTATGCCATTTACATGTCTAGCTGGCCTTTTTCCCATTTGACATTGCAGTCACGTTTTCGATTTTATTAGCTAATCTGTTGAACCCCCTACATTTGCACCGCATTATATTAACCCTATTACTATGTACCTAGTAAACATACGAATATGTAGTACCAATTGTCAAACGAACTCCCCCCGTTTGCAGGACAAGAAGTACGACGTAGGCGGCGGCGAATCATTTGCCACCCTGTCGGAACTGATCGATCACTACAAGCGTAATCCCATGGTGGAGACGTGTGGAACGGTGGTGCATCTGCGGCAGCCCTTCAACGCCACACGAATCACGGCGGCTGGAATCAATGCCCGGGTGGAACAGCTGGTCAAGGTGAATTCCCAAGCTGAAACTAAGCTCGGTTGGGTGTACTAATTTCAAGGTTTACGATTCCAGGGAGGCTTCTGGGAGGAGTTCGAATCGCTGCAGCAGGATAGTCGGGATACCTTTTCGCGCAACGAGGGCTACAAGCAGGAGAACCGCCTTAAGAACCGCTACCGGAACATATTGCCCTGTGAGTATGGAACACACTGACCTCTAGAGATCATCCTTCTTCATCCAATGAGGGTTATCTTTTATAATAATTAACATATTCAAGATTTGTGACTTGACGGTGTTTAGATGTATCCCTCAAGATGTTATATAAATGTTTAAAATAGTTGACAGATTGGTAGATAATAGGATATATTAGGAAATTAATTATACTGATCTCTGAGGAGCATCCTCCTTCACCCAATAAGGGTTTTCTGTCATAATATTTAACATAATCAAGTTCTCTGCCTTGAAGATGTTGTTTGTATTCCTCAGGATGTTATATAAATGTTTAATATTTAATAGATTCGTAGATAAAAGACATAGGTCTAAATAAATAATATAAATATCTATCTAAATATCCTATATATCTGTACTATCACTATCAATGTACCCAAATAATTAAAATTACTAACTCATTTCCCCATTTTCCCCTCCCCAGACGACCACACGCGCGTCAAGCTGCTGGACGTGGAGCCCGGCGTGGCCGGTGCGGAGTACATCAATGCCAACTACATACGCCTGCCCACCGACGGCGACCTGTACAACATGAGCAGCTCGTCGGAGAGCCTGAACAGCTCGGTGCCCTCGTGCCCCGCCTGCACGGCGGCCCAGACGCAGCGAAACTGCTCCAACTGCCAGCTGCTGAACAAGACGTGCGTCCAGTGTGCCGTGAAGAGCGCCACGCTTCCGTACAGCAACTGTGCCACCTGCAGCCGCAAGTCAGACTCGCTGAGCAAGCACAAGCGCAGCGAGTCCTCGGCCTCGTCCTCGCCCTCCTCCGGCTCCTCTGGATCCTCGGGAGCCAGCGTCAACGGACCCGGCACACCCACCAATCTCACAGGCAGCGCAGCCAGCTGTCTGGCCGGATTGCTGAAGAAGCACTCGAGCGACTCGTCATCCTACGGATCGGGATCCGGATCGGGTGCTGGATTCATGTCGATGGCAGAACGGGAGCGGGAAAGGGAGCGCGAGATGTTCAAGACGTACATAGCCACCCAGGGATGCCTTCTCACCCCGCAGGTGAACACGGTGACGGACTTCTGGAATATGGTGTGGCAGGAGAATACGCGGGTGATTGTCATGACCACCAAGGAGTACGAGCGCCTCAAGGAGAAGTGCGCCCGCTACTGGCCGGACGAGGGCAGAACGGAGCAGTTTGGCCATGCGCGGATACAGTGCGTCTCGGAGAACTCGACGAGTGACTACACATTGCGCGAGTTCCTTGTCTCGTGGCGGGAGCAGCCGGCGCGCCGGATCTACCACTACCACTTCCAGGTGTGGCCGGATCACGGAGTGCCCGCCGATCCCGGCTGTGTGCTCAACTTCCTGCAGGACGTCAACACGCGACAGAGTCACCTGGCCCAGGCGGGCGAGAAACCGGTAAGTTGGCTTGGATTGGATGATAGTAGTGGGGTGATTGATTGTAACCGAATATCTATTCTCATCCATTTTTAGGGTCCCATATGCGTACACTGCTCGGCGGGCATCGGACGCACCGGCACCTTTATAGTGATCGACATGATCCTCGATCAGATTGTCCGCAATGGTAGGCTTTGATTTATGACAAATGGCCTTACAAGTAATCTTCAATTAAAACCATTCTCCTTGCTTGTTTCTCCACAGGATTGGATACCGAAATCGACATTCAGCGCACCATCCAGATGGTCCGATCGCAGCGTTCCGGTCTCGTGCAAACTGAGGCGCAGTACAAGTTCGTGTACTATGCGGTGCAGCACTACATCCAGACCCTGATCGCCCGCAAGCGTGCCGAGGAGCAGAGCCTGCAGGTTGGCCGGGAGTACACCAATATAAAGTGAGTTTTGCCTTGGATTCCTTAGATTGTCAATGCTAATAATGGCTATTCTTTTGCTAACCAGGTACACGGGCGAAATTGGCAACGATTCACAAAGATCTCCATTACCACCAGCAATTTCTAGCATAAGTTTAGTACCAAGTAAGACGCCATTAACGCCGCCGTCAACGGATTCGGGCATTGGGATGGGCCTGGGCATGGTCGTGGGCATGGGGATGGGCATGGGAGTTGGCAACAAGCATGCTTCGAAGCAGCAGCCGCCGTTGCCGGTGGTCAGTTGCAGCAGCAATAACAACAACAGCATCAGCAGCAATAGCTGCAGTAACGGCAGCAGCATCAGCAGCAACAGCTTCAGCAACAGCAGCAGCAGCAACAATAGCAGCAACGGCAGCAGCAGCAGCAGCAGCAACGGCAACAGCAACATCAATGTCCTGCAAGGCGGTATCGGCTTGGGGCTGCGCAAGTCGAACTTTTACAGCGACTCGCTGAAGCAGCAGCAGCAGCAGCAACAGCTGCAACAACAGCATCGCGAGGAGCAGGCGACTGCTCCGGCGGGAGCAGGTAAGATGCAGCAGCCGGCGCCGCCGTTGCGACCGCGTCCTGGCATACTCAAGTTGCTCACCAGTCCCGTCATCTTTCAGCAAAATACAAAAACATTCCCAAAGACATGACCGGCCTGCGACCGCCGAGCCATGCGCCTGCGTTGCCGCCGCCGCCGACACCGCCGCGCAAAACATGACAAATGAATTTCTAAGTCGCGACGCCCCTTGACACGCTCCCCCCCTCCCCCCTCGCCCTCTCGCCCCCTCGACACCCCGAAACCGCCCCACACGCACACAGACCACAAGTGGATTTCATTTTTAAAGTCACCCTGCTGCCCCAAAAACCCTTTAACCTTGACTATGTTTTACTGTTGTACCAAGTTCTACGTTTTATCATATATATTTTTTTTTTGTAATTTTGTAATTGTAATCTATATACTTTTTGTAATTGTAATTGTGTAATGCTTAGTTGTATGTTATTGTCTCGCTTTATGTTGTAAGTGTTCCCTGCACACGCAAAGCAGCAACCCACCACCCCAAAAAAACCCCACACCCCAGGCATATTTATGTAGTAGTTTTTTAAGAGTCCCCCAACCGGAAGTTAAAGATACAATCTGGGCGGAGCTGCAGCAGATCCGCCAAAAAAAGAAAAAACATTTTTAAGCAGAATCGCAAAAATTATTTGGTCCCGTTTCCGGTTCCATAGCATTTGAATTTGGCATAGTCGGACCACAATTTACATGGGTTTGCGCTGGTTTTAAACCACCTAAGATTCCCACTTTCGAATTTTAAGAACTTAAATCTATAGATTTTCTTTTTTTTTAAATAATTTGGTTTCCAATTTAAGAATCACAAGTTTTGAGTTAGAAAACCGTTAAAAGCCATTTGAATTTCTTTTCTAGAAGAAATCATTGATTTAATGTTACAATTTTAGAGCCAGAAAAGTTTGATTTTCAAGAAAAAAACAAAATATTAAGTCCAAATCCGTCAAATTCAATTTGAAACGGAAACGGAAACGGGTAACCGGTTGGAGTGCAAATCAAGTTTTTAGTGTTGTAAGTGTTGACAAAATCGAAAGAAGAGGAGTTAGAGGAGTAACTAAAGCAGTAAGCACGTAACGATAATGATACAAAAAAGCGTTGATTGTGATTCGAGTGACAGCGAGATAAGAACAGAAACAGAAACAGAAACAGTAACAGAAGTAACAGAAGCGGATGAGAACAGTGACAAACGAGATCAGAATGAGATCAGAACAGAACATCAGAGACGCCAACCGAACAGATGAGAACAGATTAGAAGTAAAATGAAAAAAGCTAAGAAGCGCTTGAGCGTGTCGTCCCTAGGATAAGAAAACTAAGATTACAGTTCGACAGATCCGGATCCAGATAGAGATCGAGATCGAGATCTACATATATCTCTAGCAGCCAATCTCTGATTTCCCCTTCCCCCTCGTTTTTCCCCCTTTAATTTAGTGATTGTAATGTGTATGCTCTTAATTGTATATTGATGATTATTTATAAAAATTTGCCCATTGTGTTACATTTGAAATGATCGAAAAGAATTGTATTTAGAATTTTATAACTTTAGAAATTATACATTAATTGTGTGTCTGTGTCTCTCTATTCCTTTCTCTCTACCCCAGTCTCAGTCTCCCCTTCTCTGTCTCTCTCTCTAACTCTCTCTGTGTATGCACGAGTGTTTATTTTGACTAAGTTTATTATTTCTAACGCTGAAGCGTAATCAAACTATATATGCAATATTTAAGCACAGTACCTTGGGCGCTGCAAAACAAAAAAAAATAAATATAAATCCATCAGCTAAATCAAAAATATTCAATATACAGGAAGGAGTAACTCAATATCAGCAGCTGCAAATTTAAAACCATTTAGATTGTTGTGCAAATCTAAGTAATACCTATATTTAAAATACACTATTATTTTATCTTATTTTACCTTATGCTTTTGTAAGTGCTTTAAATTGTTATTCATCTTGATCTTGCAAAGAAAAAAAAAAACAAAACAAAACTGAAAAACGAATACAAAACTAAAAAACAACACAAATTATATTTGTATTTATACATAAAAAATAAAACATTTTACATGCGATACACGAAAAGAAGCACATTATATTTTATTTTATTTGCATGTTTGTTGAACGCTTTAGCATTTTTGGTTCTCAACTTGCGTTATATTACAACAGATCCTCAACGAACTGAAAACAATAACCCCAACAGTTAGGAACTTAGCCTTATATCGAATTGCCTCTCGACCAAGACGGAAAATTGAATCACAGAAGGCAGATGTGGGAGTCGTCGTGTCCCGAAAAAAACAAGTAATCATGTGTTCGCCCCCACCACCCACTCGAATCTGAACCAACCCCTGACCTTCCACGATCCACCCACCATCTGAGCACTAGCGGGTGACCCCGACCAGACGACGAACGTGTATGTAAGTGCGTGATCTAGTACTTTATATAGTTAGCCTATAATACGATAATTCAAATGGAATACGTCGAAGCTTGGCTTTGACTGGGCGGCAACCTAGTGGCCCCCAAAAACGAAGGTGAATCCGTATGTGAGTCCCGCTGGGGATACGACTTGTTTTGATCTTGAAATGGGGGGCGCATTTCGAAACGCACCACTATTCTCGTGTTGAATTTTTCTATAGCATGTAGACAGAGGTGGAAATCGGAAATCGGATATGGATATGGACCGGGAGAACGCAGTCCAATGGAGCAAGAGCAAGAGCAAGAGCAGGAGCAGCCAGCGGAGGGAGAGAAGAATGCCAAAGCACAAAGCCAACACGCAACAAAAACACCAATAGGCCTCATCGAAGACATCAGACCACAATACATTTTTAAACAACGATGTTAAGATCAATAAGAATGAACTGAAATCAAAATATCGACGTGACTATTCAAGAGGGATTCAAGGAGAACCAAACACCAAGAAAAAAAAAACAAAATACCAAGAGCAAAGAAACGCTTTAAACTTAATTAATTCTAAATATGTATCTAGGCGATATAGAAATGTAAACCATACACCAAATAACCATAGTAGAAAGAAAACACCAAGAAACAATTGCTTAAGTGACTTACTTTAGATAACGACATTCTCGGGTAGGATCTGAAAACCCCAAGAAACCTCGGACCTCAACCGATTTCCTCGAGCCCCCAATCCCAGACCCGAACCCGAACCCGAATCCATCGTCCATTCCCCTCCTTAAGTACGTCTATAAGCTAACCAATCAACCACATGATGCAACCTCACCTCGTGTTCATAATCCGATGAGACGTTGTTCGATTTTTAGTGAAACCTCGGTGCGGTTTCGATGTTACAAGAATAAAAACCAAATAGAGACGACGTTTTCTTTGTTCAAATGTTGCCAATTTCCATAATACAAGTGTTATAGTACCATATACCATATGGAGTATAAATGATAATATATATTTAGAGACGAATTACAGCGCAGTACTCTGTGTCTTTTCCATCAAATTCGATAAAAAACGAAAAAGCAAATATATATCTATATACAAGAAGCGACTAAAAAGTAGTTATCTTTGCATATGAAATATTAATCGACCTACAATCTAAGATATATGTGTAGAATACTGCGAATATTGTTGAACGATGATGATTTAATTGGAACTAAAGGTAACAATCCAGAACAAATGGTAAACAAACCCACGACGAAGCGCGATGAACGCAAAAAACAACGTTTTCGTAGATATAGATCGTAAGATGAACAAATTAATGAAACGCAACAAATCGATCGCGAAAATCAAGGCAAAAGTCAACACCAAATAAGTTATAGACAAACTAAGTCGTTGTAATGTTGAAGCAAATATATAGAAACATATGTAAATCGATCTGCAAACGCTAAGCAAACGTAACAAACATACAAACTTAAACACAGCCAGAAAATATTATTATGAAATTAAATTGAAACCTTAAGAGGCATAGCTGTTCGAAACATTATACCGATAATAGCGATATTGAAGATATATTCAACATTTTTATGTGTCTGCATATTTGAAAGAAATTGATATATTATTGAATAAACCATATTACAAATAATCTTTCAAAAAATGCACTTGTTTATACTACTTTTGAATTTTCAGATGGATGGGTAACGAATGAAAAACAATGAACATTAATGAGAAAACCCCTTGGGTACCAATAAAACTCGATCGCGATTTTATATTCACGTTCATTAAACACTATACAGTGACAGATTTTATTTTGTTCAGCAATAGGAAAAAAAAAATTGATTTGTAAAAAAAATATACAACCACGAAACTTTCGAAATAATTAGATATATCCTTATAATATATATTTATATGCTTGTGTGTGTCTAACCTAGGGTGAATTCAGTCCAACTTCCATAACTCAAACTTTCCTAACTTTATTTGTTCATAGTTTAGGGTTCTCTTCATTGAGAAATAAAAGTAAATAAAGTGAAGTAAGTAAAGATTTTTAAATTTAGAAAATTTTTCAAAAAAAATAAAAAGTCAACTTCGTTCGAGTCCAAGACGAGTAATGGAAGTTCAGCTGCATTTTCGGAACCTTACAATGCCGGCCAGAGTTCTTTCAAACGATACTCTACATGCCCTTAATTAGTCAATAAATTAAATGTTTACTTGTTGTATTCAATTCAGTTTCACTTAGGAATTACTTCAGGCTTAAGCTTTAATTCTAACTGTAAATATATTCCCAGCTTACCTCTAGTTTAAGTGATTTTTTCATGCTCTTCCCATAGGGTGTTGTGTGTAATGACTAACAACGTTTTAATAAATACGTTAGCCCTTAGGAGTAATGGTGAAGTTCTATACAGTTTGATGAATTGATGACTGGGATAACAGTCTATGCTTTATCATACATGTGGCGGCCTGTTACTTGAGCTACGAGAACACCCCTCTAGTTAAGTTTAGATTACGTACAAAAGGTTCTACAGCGTGCTCCAAGTGAATCACATTCAGCATGGGCGACGCCGGACCTGGTTGGACCCGGTCCAGAGCTATGGCTCCTCCTCCAGCCGAAGGTCGTGGCAGAGGCGCGTGGTCAGATCGAAGCACAGGTGACTGCCCCCGCTGCTATCCTCAGACTCTGGCGGAGTGCTGGCAGGAGCGGGAGTGGGAGTCGGAGTTGGAGTCGGAGACGGAGCGGTTTGCCTGTCCGGCCCCGGACCCACCGGCGAATAAGGTGGCGGGGTAATGGAATACGAGGGCGAAGGCATCATCTCACCTGGCTCATCCCGCTGACACTATTGCGCTCCTCCGGCCGCCGCATCCTTTATATCGCCTGGCGGCGGTACCTCCTTCATGGACTCCACCTTGGCCACAATCTTGAGGGCTGGGCCCAACTTCATGCCCATGGCGTGTACCAGATGATTCTCCTTGAGCAGCAGCAGCGCCTGGCCGTCGATCTCCTGCTGGATGAAGTCGTCCACGTAATCCTGACACCCAGGCAGTTCCCTGATGAAGTTGCTCACCTCCTCCACACTCCAGCTGCTTATGGGCGGGCGATCCGATCCATTTACGTTGGAAGATGGTAGAGCTGCCGCAGGAGTGACTACTCCAGCTGGGGCCACTGGCAGTGGCATGGCTGGAAGTATTGCAACTGGCAACGGCAGTGCAAGGGGCAGCGAAAGTGGGGAAGATGCCGGAATAGCAGATAGTACTGGCATTGTGATCGATGGAACTTCCGTTGGAGCCGCCTGCATGGGCAGAGATTCGGACATTGCCTGCAGGGCTTCCGTCTGCATTTTTTCCTCGGCCATAGCTTCATCCAGTTTGTCCACCAAAGCCATGGCGTCCACTCCAACAATTCCGCCCATTCCCAGGCCGTTGGTCTCTCCGGTTCCTCCAACTCCTCCGATGCCGTTCTTCGCCTGTCTAGCGCATCCTGGCGAGCAGTAGCGCTTTCGCTTAAGCTTTGCTTTGTGTTCCAGCTTGCCGCACTGCTCGCAAGCCACCATGTCCGAGGCTGGAGCTGACGCTATTCCACTTGGCTTCATGTCCTCCTGCATGGCTGCCTTTTTCTCTGCGAAAAGTGAAAGTGACGTGGTGAGATTGGGACTATGTGACAGTGGCAGGGGGGTATACTCACTTGGAGGCTCTTCGCTGACGTCCTTATCAGCATAGCGCTGCCTGGTGACGGGGAAGGGCTCGTTGGCCTCCTGTATGATGAAACCGTCGATGACGTGGGTTAGGACATTCGGCTTTATCATCGCCTTGGGCAGATCCTTGGACCCATTGCTGTTGCTCGACGTGGTGGTTGTGGTAGTGCTCGTGCAACTTGTGGTTGAAGAGCTGCAGCTGGTGGTGGTTGTACAAGCGGTTGAGCCAGCAGTGCTACCTGCCGTCGTTCTGGTCATTCCAATTCCATTGGTGATCGTTGTCGTCGTTGGAGTGGATGTCGCGGACGTGGAACCGACGGAGGCTGCCACCTTGGGTTCTTCCTTCCCACTGGCACTGGTGGGGGTGGAGCTGCTGCTCGTTGGCTGCACTGCATTGCTTTGTTTACTAGTGGGAGTGGTGGCGACTTTCGAGGGCGTGGAAGCTCGATCTGAAGCTTCTCCGTTGGGCAGAGCCTCGCTCGTGGAACTACTGGCCTCCACGGGTGCACTGACATTGGCGGGAGTGGAGGATTTGGGTGTGGTGCAGGTGTCATGTCCCGATACCGGCGTCATGGGCGAATCAATGGGCACCAGGGTGGCGGTGGGTCCTTTTGAATGTGACTCCTTGGTGGGCGTGGCCGGAAAGCTTCCTCCTCCGCTACTGGCACTGCTGAGGGTGACCAGCTGACCCGGCGATGGAGTGACAGCGGTGCTAGTCACAGAAACAGTCACGGGCGGGGCAGTAGACAGGTGGCCCACCGTGGCATTCATCATCGAGGTCATGGCCAGAATGGGATTTGTGGTGGGAGAGGGCGTGGTGGGTGTAAGTGAAGGATGTCCCTGCTGCTGCTGTTGAGAGGCCGCTGCAATGGTGGCGCTGATCAGCTGCTGCTGCTGGTGGATTTGAGCAGCTTGAGCCTGTGCCTGTGCCTGCTGCAGACTAGCCACCGTACTGCTGGAGACCAGGGGAGTGCTGCTCTGGTTGGTAATGGTGACCACACTGCTGGTGGGGAGGGAGGAGGAACTGCACGTGCCAGGCTTGGCCGTCTGGAAGATGGCGCCTGAGGCGGAGAGGGCTGCCTGCAAGGCACTGGAGGTGGCTATTCCGGCTGGAGTCGTCGTCGAAGAAACCGAGAAGGGCACGCTGCTCAGCTGCAGCTGTCCAGATTGCTGTTGTGCTTGCTGCTGCTGTTGGGCGGTCGCTCCGCCCGACTGCTGGACCACAATCTGCTGGATGATGTTTTGCTGCTGTTGCTGTTGCTGCTCCCGCTGCTGCTGTTGTTGCTGCGCTTGGGCCTGCACCTGGGCCTGAACTTGTGCCTGAGCCTGCGCCTGTTGCTGCAGTTGCTGCTGAATCAGTTGGTTGTGCAGCTGCTGCTGCTGCTGTTGCTGGTGGGATGTGATGAACTGGTTGGGAGCCACCTGCAGGATCTGCTGAGTGGCATTGGCGAGTGCCTGCTGCTGCTGCTGCTGCTGCGCCTGCGCCTGCGCTTGGGCCTGGGCAACTTGCTGCTGCTGATCCCGCTGTTGTTGCTGAGCTTGCGCCACCTGTTGCGCCACCGCTTGCTGAGCATTAACCTGCTGCTGCTGCTGGGAGACTTGTTGCTGCTGCTGCTGTTGTTGCTGTTGCTGCGCCTGAACTGCCGCCTGCTGCTGCTGCATCTGGATGGCGGCAATCTGCTGCTGAAACATTTGCTGCTGCAGGAATTGCTGCTTCTGAATCAGCTGGAACTGCTGCTGCTGTTTGTCCACTCCCGCCGTAGTGGCTGCATGAAGGGTCTGTCCATTCTGGAGGGTGATGGGAGTGCCCGTCGTGCTCATCACAACCATTCTGCAAGGATTTGGACATAATTAGTTGGGTTGGATTGATGCTGAACGAGGTCTACTCACTTGTTGCCCGCCGCATTGACCACCTGCTGGAGATTCGTCGCCTGCTGCTGTTGCTGCACGGTGGTTAGGTGACCGACCACCTTGTTCTGGCCCGCGACCTGGCCGTTCTCTGTTTTCAAGGTGGGCAAAGCTGGTCGCACCGGCTGTTGCTTGTTGCGCATCTTGGCTTTCAGCAGACTCTGATTCTGCGCTGTCTGGGTGGACACGGAACTGGCCGGACGCACTTGAGTTCCATTGTGCGGCATGATCGGGGCTCCCGGCCGCTGCAGAGCAGCTGCTGTGAGTTGTTGCTGCTGCTGTTGCAGCTGGGCAGTGGCCACGGCCAGCTGCTGCTGCTGCGTCTGGTTGGTGGTGCTTCCCTGCTGCTGCTGCTGCTTGGGAGCGAGTGCATCGAGCTGGGTTCGTGCCTTGGTGGGAGTCTGGGTCACATTGCACTGGATGATTTCTGTGGGGAGATAATTTGATTAGTTCCGAAAGCAGAACGGTATTAACATTTATTCTTACGGTTCTGCTGTGTCTGCAGGGTCTGGGTCGCGGGCTGCTGCTGGATGAACATGCCTTGCGTCCCGTCTGGCTGGTTCCGGAGGATGATCTGGTTGGAGCCGAAAGGCTGCAGACCTGCCGCATTCGGCCAGAATCCCCAGGGGATCTGCATTTGCGCCTGGCCCGCGTTCAAGAGCTGGGCAGTCTGAACAGACTGGGCGCCCACTCCGACTGGCAACGTCGACTGCGAGACCTGGACGCACTGCTGGGTGGTTTGGGTGGTCTGCTGCTGCTGTTGCTGGACCTGCTGCACTTGCTGGGCCTGGTTCGACCCAGCGGATCCCGGGCCCGTCGCAGCCTGCACCGTGCTGCTAGTGGTGGTCACCTTCTGAACCACTTTCTGGGCCAGCTTGCCCTGCGCATCTACCCCCACTTTGGCCAGAGCAGCCAGCTGCTGCTGCTGCTGCTGTTGTTGTTGCTGCTGCTGCTGGGTGAGCTGCTGCTGCTGCTGGTTGAGCTGTTGCTGCTGCTGCTGAGTGAGTTGCTGCTGCTGCGCTGCGGCGGCCATCGACTGCAGCAGGTTCTGCTGCTGCTGCGGAGAGTGGGAGATGACATTCATCGGCGAGATTAGCAGCGTCTGGGGCGATTGGTTGTGGTTCGTGGGAATGCAGGTGGCATAGTTGCCGCCGGCGAATCCCGCCTGGCCCGCGATCATTTGCTTGGCGTTCTGCGGCGTGGTGGTGAGCATCTGCGGGCCGTTGCCCTGGAAGGGCTTGCCGGCGGTGATCACCTGAATGGGCTGCTGGCCGAGGCCACCTGGCTGCAATATATTGCCCGACAGGTACAGGAAGCTGGTCGAGGGCTGCATCAACTGCACTGTCCTACCCTGCGACCAATCACCGCCCACTCCGCCGGTGGCCGCCGCCAACTGCATCGGTGACATGGTGCTGATGGCAGTGGACTGCTGGGAATTGGCTGGACTAGGTGCTCCTCCTGCTGCTCCTGCATTTCCAGATGATCCTCCGCCTGCTCCTCCCCCTCCACTGGCATCCGAGAGCTGCTGCTGGAGTTGCATCTGTTGCTGAACATCCAGGATGTTGGTTGCATGCTTCAGCTCGGTTCCCCCGCCGCCAGCCGTGTGCGTGGGAAACTCCTGCTTCACCTGAATGGCATAGGGATTGCTCGCATAGAATTGCTGCAGCTGCTCGGGGGAAATCTGGAGCGGCACGGTGGTGGCGGCCGCCACCTGTTGGGCGGGACTCTGTGACTTCTCCAGCTTAGGGCCGCGTGTCTTCGTGTTGGGTGTACTCGGTGAGCTGCTGGTAAGCGGCAACAGTGGATGGCGCCGCCTGATGGTTCCTGGCGTTCCGGCTGCTCCACGAGCTGCCCTGGTGCTGGGCGATTGTGATGGACTCTTGGCAAAATCCTCGTCGAAGCTGATGCCCGCCTTCTGGGCTAGTGTTTCCAGGCACCTTAGTGGTCGCTGGGGATCCTCACTTGTAATGGGGGTGCCTTTTACAAGTGCGTTAGTGTTGCTGCCTTCTGCCGCTGTGGTGATGGGTGCAGGTGAAGGTGGTGGAGTACGATGTGTTGTTGTTGATTCACTTTCTGTGACCGCACTGCAGGAAAAAGAGAACGAAGAAACGAACACAGACGATCAGTAAACATCGCGTATAAACATAAACAAACACAGACGCACTTGGGGCGGCTCCGAATGCGTGGGGCATGCTTCATATTTATATTTATGTTCATATTCATATTGTATTATCGCTTGACCAACAAAACGCATAACAACAGACTGTGGACTCCAAGTCACTCGGGAAAGAGCACTCTTTTGCTCTCTTTCTCCCTATTTCTCTCTCTGCCAGCAGAGTGGGGATCGGGTCTGTCGAAGGCAGAGGCGGATCCAAGGGATGGAAAATTGGTAGATTTAGTTCCCACAATTAACAAAATATCCATATAAAAGGGTTAATTTAATTTAATATATCAAGAGTGTGACTTCCAAATCGAGAGGTGCCCCCCAAAATTGTCTCCAGATCCGCCCCTGATCAGTGGGGAGAGCTGGAGAGAGGGATTAGCATTGCAATCCCATCGAACTCTCACTAGCGCTGCAAAGAAACACGCGGAACGGGTCGTCAAGAGAGAGGGAAGCAGCAGGTGCGAAAGGGATGCACGATCATTGAGAAAGACAAAGACGGTATAGTGTAATAATGCACTGGCGGCCTAAAAACGGCAAGGAAAACAAAAACGAAAACAAAGTCGAGAAAAAAAAGTGAGACGGAACGAGATATTGTTTTTGGTGATGGTGATTACCATTATTATTCACACACTAGATAAATTCAGCTACAGTGGTTATCGTTCGAGTTAAACTGGTTATTTAACTTGTATTGAAATTATAAGTTATTAAAAATCTAGAAATTGTTTAAAGTATTTATTAATTTACACCCTTGAGTTTTTCAAACCCAATAAATAAATAATTGGTTGACCAATTTTTTGCGTTGCTCTTTGAGGCATTAACTGTAGCTTTCAACAAATTGGAAAATTGTCATAATAATATTATTGGTTTGAATAGATTTCAGTGACACCCCAGAATTAGAATGTTTTAGCACTAGCATAAAATAAATAAATAAATAAGGTACATTGGGTCAAAAATATCTCTATCTCCGTGACCCACTAAAAGTGCACTGTTTTGCATGCTACATACATATGTATGTATATATATGCATGCATTACAGTACTTAAGGAGGTCACTTGTCAGAGTTGCCTGTGCCCACAACTTCTATTTTTAGTAGCCTTGCTCTCGTGCTCTCTGCTGCCTATCCTGTCTATCCCCCTCTTTTTCATCCTCCCCCGCAGAGGAGTTCAAGTTTGCGTCGGTGCAAGCGAGACGACCTTTATTTACGGTCTGCTCATTGCCCATAGCTAAAGCGCATAGAACACCAACACGATAGTGGCGGTATCCAAGGGGGCAGGTTCAAAGACCTGTGGTGCGAGCCGAAAATGCTGACAGTTCCCAGGTCCCAGTTGTCCAGGAGTAGCAAATGGTGGCCCCCCGTAATAACTACGATTCCAGGAAGAGTTGCAAAAACGTAACCCCCGGTACGTCTGTGTGCCAGTCGGGGGTGGTTTTATGAATTCCCATCGGCAGTGTGAGAGTAGAACGAAATCCACATTCAAATCGAACTAGACGCAGCAGCATCTTGAACTTGCAATCAAAAGACTGGTTTCTCTCCACTGTGCGAGTGTCCCTGTAGGTGTGTGTGTGTGTGTGCGCTTGCGTGTGTGTGGCGGCAGACGGCTTACAACAATGCCAAAGCCATCATCATTTGATTTTCCCTTCAACCGAAAATTGAGTTGCAAGAGGCAGCGCGGCAGAAACAGAAACAGAGAAAAAAGAGAGAAAGAGGAGGAGCAGGAGGGGAAAACGAAAACGATGAAGAGGAAGAGGGAGGATTGACAACAATGCGGGGCAAACAACAGGCAAAGAGCATGCGCCGACGACGGCGTCTCAGTCTCAAAAAGTATGTTTTCTCCTCCATTCAGTTTTTATCGTTTTCATTTTCCATTTCTTAGTTTACAGTCTATATGTATGTATATTTAAGAGCACCTGTGCACGCGATCTTACATAAAAAGAGCGCAACGACGAAAACTCTAGACGCCGCACAGCATTAATATTGTGTATTTGCTTCTTCCTTTTCTTGTTGTTTTTTTTTTGGTGTTTCTGGTTTCTTGCGTTGTTTTTATTCCAGGCGACGACACTCTCCACTATCCGATACACTTTCCAGCACGCTTCTTACGTCGCCAGCGTCGCGACACCAGTAAACATTTCCGTTTCTCCTCATTTTCATTGAGTATTGCAGTATCGCGGTGTTGCATTCACTAATCACTCGATTCGCTAATCGTCAGCACAGATGTGCAGTTGTCGTCAAAAGCCAAAAAAATAAATAAATAAATACGACGGGGAAGTGGCAGAGTGTGTGCGTCGCGTCGACGCGAGAATTTTCTCCGTTTAACACATACACATGCACATGCATGCACGACAACGAGACCAACACGAGCGCGGAGCAGAGCGCAAGAACCGTACGCGGCCAAGTTTACTTTCAAAATGAACCGCGCGCCTCGGCGACAACTCTGCTCTGGGAAACAAAATGAAGTGCGCATGTGTGTGACGGTGTGACGGTGTGCGACTGCGGGAAGGGGCAGCTGGAACGAACCCGTTTTCGTTTCGTCTCTCGACGACTAATAACTTTTCTCTATACCGAAATGCGCGGGTGCGAGTGAAACGGCACTAGGGGCGGCCCGGGCTAGAGAGCGCGTGCGAGCGGGACATCCTCTGCTCGCTTGGGGTTGGAATGAAACGGCAGCAGTTCGGTTTGCAGGGCAAAACGAGTAAAAAACGCAGGAATCGAGGCTACAGCTGGCGGGCATGTGTGTGTGTCCAACCACCCCGACTGTGGGCCCCTTCCCCTGCCCCTGCTGAAAAAATATCCGCTACCGAATCCAGTTTTCTGTGTCTGTACACTCGAATGTCTACCGCCCGAGCCCGATGCCGATTATTGCTATACTTCATCTTCTTTTTTTCGTTCCATCACATCGCAACCACCACTGCCTACCTACCTCTCCCTCTCCATCACCTCTGCCCCTTCTCCCATCCACCCTTCCTCCCCTTCAGTTTCTGTTGCTGTTTCGCATCGGATCGGATCGGCTTTACTTTATTATTAGTTGTGCTTGTCGGAAACAGACGTTGGAAGAGGAAGAGGAGGGGTGGCGTATGCGCAGAGGCAGAGCGAAATGCTTTTTTCACTCACTCTGCCGAACAGTGGCATGCGATCCATTATTGTTGCACAGTGAAGCACTCTCCATTGCGCCGGTATTTTAAAATATGGCAGTAGAATTTCGCTTATATTGTACCAAAGAATTTAATATGTTTTTGAGAAGTAATAACTTAATCATCTATTAATTACTCATTACTGAACAAAAAATAATTGAAGTCCGAAATAAAGATTAGTTTTGTTATTTCTAATTATCGTTTATTATGATAAATATATAGAATAACTTAAATTTTTTAATGATCTTTATGCCAGAACAATTAACACGATATATTATAGAACAACCGCTGGCATTACTTGTAATTTATAGTATACTCATTTTAGTATTTTTTTTACACTACATACCCACCACTCTTGTCCCACTGTGCCTGTCGTTGGCATTTCATTTTTCATTTTGTGCTGCCTATGTGTGTGCATAGTTGTATGGGTGCGTTGCTTTGGGCTCTTGTCGGTCTTCTTGCTTCCCTTTCCACCTCGCTTCTTCCAACAACAACGTTGCTGAGCTCCACAAATGCTCATCATTCCGATCGCTTTTGTTGTTCGACAGAATTTCGTTTCGTTTCATTTCTTTTGCTTCTACTGCCGCCATATTATTTTTATGCTCGTTAAGTGCTTTTGTGCTCCCGCTCTCTGTGTCTGTGTGTGTGTGCGTGGTTGTGGGTTCAGCTTGGCATTCGGTTTTTTTTCGTTTTTTTCGCCGAGCTTTTTTCTTATTAGTTGCCCGCCTCCTACTTCGCCGCTATTTCCCTCTTTCGCCTCTTCTTCGCACGCTCAACTGTACAAGAAGTCGAGCATGCGCTCTTCTTCTTGCCATTCAATTAATTGCCCCCAACTTATTGGGTTGTTGTTGTTTGGCCGAGTGCTGAGTGGGGTTGGGGTGAGAACGAGAGTGAGAGAGAGAGAGCTAACATTTGCATTTCTTAAAAATGACAAATGCTTAATGAGCGTGAATTGCTTTGCGCGTGTTTGCCTCACACTCGCACATTGCCTCTCGCTCTGGCGCATTGGCTCTAGCATACATCCCTCCCCCTCGCTCGCTGTAATAGAAACTCACACACACACGTACGTATGTATGTGCATACATACATTCCGGTTTTTGTATTGTTGCTGTTGGTAATTGTCAGAATTTCCTTCACCATTTTTGAAAAGACGAAACCTTGAGGTAATCATCATCTGCATACACATGTGTACATAAAGATGTACATACAAACAAACATACAAAGAGAGCGATAACCAAAGTAGTCCTCACTTTGTGTTGTTGCAATCGTTGTGAAATCGACAGAGGCGTCGGCAGCGGCAGAGGTTTTAATGTCACAAGGCGTGGCTAACGGTGAAAATGGATCAGTTCCAGGATCACCAACACATTCAAGGGTGCACGATTCATCCCCACAAGTACAGTGAATATTGGCTAATAGAACTTGAAGTATTCCAAATATATTTTTTACCTCATTCTGTGAATTTTGAACTTATCATTAAACAATATTTTCTTTAGAATATCCCTAGAATTTTTGTTACATTTATTTATATTTTATAGATTCCTGTTGTTTACAATCCAAACCGAAGAATATTAAATCTATATGCTTACAAGCAGTGGATCTGACTATGGTTATAAACTAATTTTGCAGTACTTATTTTTCATTTATTATGACAAACAAGCAGTTCTTGACACGCTTTGCACAACAAAAACTTTGAAACTCACCATCTTTTCTGTTATTACTTGCCCTTTTGTCCAACCTCCTTCCGCAGCACTGTTGACCTGTAACCTCTTGTGTGGCGCACACTGGAAGTACTCGAGTCCGCATTTAGCTTAAATTGGATCATCTGCAGGGTTTTTTGGTGGTATGGGAAATATACACATGTATATATAGGTTGGATACACCGTATATACCGAGTATAATGGTGATCGTGGGGGTTTTTAATCAACTTTTTGCATAAGGTTCCCCCCGAGTTGGGATCTTAGTATAATTTAAAATTCTTGCCTTAATGATTGTTTTTTTGTCCCCCAGGGATATTGAACAAACTGTACCAAGTTCACTTGTTGGTAAAGGGGTGAAGTAGTGTCCTGGAATAAATCAAACAAGGCAGAGAAGGGTTGACCTCTGACACTTGTAGACCTCGGCGACCCCAGTGCACCCTTAGCCACCATTTTAGGCACCGCAAAACATTTTCCAATCTATGCAAGCAGTTACAATTACCCTTAAAAGCCAGACTTTTCAGGATCATAAACGAGATGGACAGCGAAATCAACCCCTAAGCTTGTTGTTAGGGGTGAGCAACAAGGATCGCGGATTCGGGGGAATCACAAAGAACCAGAGCGAAGATGAAGGGAAACTTGGAATAGAGCATTATCTCCAATATTTCTCCATTAGGCCGAGCCCCAACAGCTCCAATTTTATAATTGTCAATTTTACACTTTCACCGCTCTCTCTCCCAAAACCACTTAAGTCGCTAAATTATAAACCAATTACAACAAGAAAAAAATATTTATGCAATTAGGCAATTTTACAATTTCAATGTCCAATTTATGTTTTTAATTTAAGGTACCTGACAGCTTGCCGTACTTTAGTGTATAGTGGAATGTTTTTTAAGCTTTGCTCGGTGAAAAAATTCGCTGATCTGTAACCCTTGAAATCATCGCCAGGATCCCCGAACCGATCGTCCTGCGAAAACAGATTTTACCAAATTAAAAATTACGTTAAGGATACCCCTCATTAAAGGACCAATATTATCGCAATATTCAGTTCCCCTGTATATTTACCTTGCTCACCTATTGCTGAGGCACGTAGAAATGGTGGTTAATCAACGACATAAGCTATTTCGAAAACCTAATACGAAAAATTCCAACATAAAAATTCGTTAAAATTTTGATCCTCGTTTAAAAGACCAATTTTAATGTCGAATTTTAGAGCATTTAACCACAAACTCATAGCGGTATCCCACTTCAAAATCGGGATCCAACTACCCAAGTTATGGAATTTGGAAGTGCAGTTTTGGGTTCCCATTCTGAAAGCCATTGGAATACGGATAAATCTGACATGAGAATTGGCTAAAATTTGGACCCTCTTGTAAATGAAATATTTAAATGTAGAATATTAGAGAATTCAACCACAAACTCATAGAGGTATCCCACATGAAAATCGGGATCCTATAACTCACGTTATAGAATTTAGAAGTGCAGTTTTGGGTTCCCATTTTGAAAACCATTGGAAATACGGAAAAATCTGACATGAGAACGGGCTAAAATGTTGACCCTTTTAGAAAAGAAATATTTAAATGTAGATTATTAGAGAATTTAAACACAAACTCATAGACGTATCCCACTTCAAAATCGCAGTCCAATAACTCAAGTTATGGATTCTTAAAGAGCAGTTTTGGGTTCCCATTCTGAAAACCATTGGAAATAAGGAAAAATCGAACATGAAAATGGGTTTAAATTTCAACCCTTTTAGAAAATAAATATTTAAATAAAGATTATTAGAGAATTTAAACACAAACTCATCGAGGTATTCCACTTCAAAATCGGAATTCAATTACTCAAGTTATGGAAGCTTGAAGAGCAGTTTCGGGTCACCATTCTGAAAACCACTGGAAACACGGAATAATCAAACATGAAAATGGGTGGAAATTTCGACCATCTCTGAAAATAAATATTTGAACGTAGATATATAGAGAATTTAGACACAAACTCAAAAAGGTATCCCACGTCTTAATCGGGATCAAAATACCAAAGTTATGGGATTTGGAAATGCAGTTTTGGTTTCTCATTCTGGAGACCATTGGATATACTGAAAAGTCGAACATGAAATGGGTTAAAATTTTGACTCTCGTTTAAAAGACAAATTTTAATGTAGAATATTCAAGAATTCAACCACAAACTCGTAAAGGTATCCCTTTTGAAAATCGCGAGCCAACTTCCCAAGTTATGGAATTTAGAAGTGCAATTTTGGGTTCCCATTCTGAAAGCCATTGGAAATACGGAAAAATCTGACATGAGAATGGGCAAAAATTGGGACCCTCTTGTAATTGAAATATTTAAATGCAGAATATTAGAGAATTCAACCACAAACTCATAGACGTATCCCACATGAAAATCGGGATCCCATAACTCAAGTTATGGAATCTAGAAGTGCTGTTATGGGTTCCCACTCCAAAAGCCATTGGAAATACGGAACAATCGAACATGAAAATGGGTTTAAATTTTGACCCTCGTTTAAAAGACATATTTGAATGTAGAATATTAGAGTGTTCAACCACAAACTCATAGAGGTATCTCACTTCTAAATCGGTATCCAATTACCCAAGTTATGGAATTTTGAAGTGCAGCTTTGGGTTCCTATTCCGAAAACCATTAGCAAAAGCAGACGAAGCAAAAGCGTGTTTATGGGTCCTTCTGATAGCTAACATCTTTATAACATATGTGCCAATTCTTATAGCAATGTAAAAAACCAGGTTACCCGAAATGCTCACTTTATCGGGCTGCAATTTCTATCCATCAACTTCAGTGCGGTGAATCCAAGCTTTTTTCCACTTTTCCGACATAATTTAACTACATAAATATTGGACCTTGTTTGAACATTGGGCTTTTTTCTATTTAATTTCTTTTGTTGATTTTCACAAAAAAAAAACAATTTGGTCAATTCAAATAATATAATAGTGGAGCCAACCCATCGGATTGTAACTCTCACAACAATAAAATACACCCACTTATTATTTTATAAATAGAAACCAAAGCAACAATAAACATTAAATAGATATGTGTATATATTTTTAAACCTAATGTTTTTGTGTGTAGGTCTAAGAATGTTCTTGGATATTTTTAACAGCTCGGTAAAATATTGGTAAGCTAAGATCAAATTTTCTTTACACATACATTTTAAATGTTGGTAAATGGAATGTTAACTTTCTCCATTTTGATTTGCAATCCACCACGACAATAACAACAACAACAACCGTAATAATTCATAGGTAAGCCCACCGCTCTGCCTCTGCCTCTGCCTCAGCCGGCGTCGCTGCTTAATTGCGCCCCATAACAAAATGCCGACGGGAAGGTGGAAGTGAGAAAAATGGGCACATTACTTGTTTTTAGCAGGGAGGGGTGTGGCTAGGGGAGGGAAATTAGTCGCTCTGCAGACGTGGGCAAGACAGGGACAACAGTACACCCTCACTACCGCTCTCTTTGTGCGGCATCGTTCGTTTTCGTGGGCGTGGCATAGAAGTGTGGTGAATTTGTTGTATAACAGTTTTGCTTGCAAAATTGTTTCAATTCTTTAAATATAATTCGTGAACTTATACACTTTTAATTGAGTTTTATTGTATTGAATTTTGTATTTATTTTATTTATTTGTTGTATAACAGTTTTTCTTGCAAAATTGTTTAAATTCGTTAAATATAATTCCTGAACTTATACACTTTTAATTGAGTTTTGTTGTGTGGTATTTTGAATTTATTTTATTTATTTGTATTTATCGATTTAGTGAAAAAGCATGCAAGCGTCTAAAACTGTTGTGACCAAGAAAGTCGAGCTTAAGCTGCTTTTTTTGAACACCATACTCTCGAAATAAAGTTTTTATGTAACAGGTATGGTTTCCGGCCCTATAAAGTATATCTATTCTTTAACAGAAACACTATTCTCTAGCTGGCGCACACAATTTTAAAGATTTTGTAAAAGTGTAAATTTTGTATTGTAAAATTTGAAATATAGATTCTACTAGTGATTGTGAAGCCAATGTTTGCTTCAGCCGAGTACTACGCCAATTCTAAGGCCCACAAATCACATAATTTTGTGGCGCCCAAGATCTGTTTAGTGTAAATCAATTTAAATCGGATCTAACCGATGGTTAAGTTTTTAAACATATGTACATATGTATAACGTTGAACATTGACCAATAAAACACACAAAAAAATTTTATGGGTAAAACTGACCGTTAACTGTAAAAAAAAGTGTTAACAACTATTAAAAAATAGTGACATCTATTTTATTGTTGCTTTGGTTACTATTTAATAGTGGAAGAGTACGTGCTTCGTTGGTCAAATTTACAATTCGATGGGTTGGGACCATTTAACTACTATATTGGTCAATTGTACCTAAAAGATTTTTGGTGTGAGCCACAGCTATAGAATCTTTTTCTGAAAATTTTTTGTTTAGAACGTCATAAGAATAGTAAAATATTTGTTATAGCTACATAACCATACATTTTACCCACCAAATTTGTTTGCGTCTATCATAATTTCCGTAAAATTTCATTAAGAATATCTGAAGGATCTCTGCGATTTTTCCTCTGATTGCTTATTTCAATTTAATATATTCTTCGATATAAAGATGTGAGGTTAACATATTTTTATGAATGATAATTGTGGCGTGCGGTAGTATTTGGCAACCATTTTTTTTATAGTTATTACGCTGATAACTTGGTCAAAAGAAAAAACAACATAGAAAAATGTTACTACTTATGAACATTTTCAAGTACTATACTATGTTGTTTTAATTTTTGGGCTATTTAATACTATACAAAATAACTATTTACGAAACTTTCATGCACAAAGTTGCTTTCTTTTTACCGTTTACCATTTACCATTTTACCATTTACCATTTACCGAAATTTAAAGAGCGCAGTTATTATTAAAGTCCGTTGACCTACGTTGAATCAATCGTAGGCCAGTCTAGGAAACTGAAATCAATTGATATTTCATATTCATCCGTTTTAGTCCTTTTAATCCCTTGTAATTTAAAATAAATTTAGGAAACATAAACCACAAATAAAACCACAAAATAATGTTTCTTTCACATTTATTAAACACTATATAAGTGCATTTCTTATTTTGTTTAGCAGTAGCAAAAAAATAATGTTGAAAAAATAATCTTAGTTCTAGGCATTTCAAAATTTGTTAGAAAAAAAAATTTTAATTCACATATAGATGCTATATTTTTTCCTTTGCAAGTTTAAAATGTTTCTGTTGTTAGTGATTGCTTAGCTTAAAATACTTTAAAAACGACCCATGACGATTAGAGTTATTAAAAGTCTACTTATATCTAAATTAATGCTTAGTTGTAGAATTCTATCGATTTCACTTGGCTGGCAGCTCAGTTAAAACATTATTCAAAGCTTATACATAGTTTAAGTAATTCCATTTATTTTCTGACTGTCTGGCGTTTTTTTTATCGCTAAATAAATATGTTTGTCTAAGAATTAAATTGAAACATGGAAATATATACAAGGTTGATGGGTTTTGCGACTCGCTGGCCTGGTGCTGGTATTGACTTTACGAATCGATTGAATCAGATTCACCCGGCACGACAGACATGGTTCTACCAGCTCCACTGTTCGGTTGGGAGATCATCTTATGCGCCTCTCACAGTCCCTACTGACCGCCTGCATCCTTGGCCTCGCCAGGTGACGGAACCTCCTTCATGGACTCCACCTTGGCCACAATCTTGAGGGCTGGGCCCAGCTTCATGCCCATGGCGTTCACCAGATGGTTCTCCTTGAGCAGCAGCAGCGCCTGGCCGTCGATCTCCTGCTGGATGAAGTCGTCCACGTAGTCCTGACATCCAGGCAGTTCTCTGATGAAGTTGCTAACCTCCTCCACACTCCAGCTGCTTATGGGTGGGCGATCTGTTCCATTTACACTCGAAGGGGTGGGCGCCGCCGGGGCACTGACCACGGGCAGTGGTGCAAGAGATGGAATTGCAACTGGCAACGGTGAACCCAGCGGCATTGCATGTGGAGATGGGGCTGAAATCGCTGGCAGTACTGGTAGTAGCAACGGAGGCGCCTCCGTTGAAAGGGATTCCGACTTCGACTGTATGGCATCCGTCTGCATTTTTTCCTCGGCCATAGCTTCGTCCAGTTTGTCCACCAATGCCATGGCGTCCACTCCAACGATTCCGCCCATTCCCAGGCCGTTGGTCTCTCCGGTTCCTCCAACTCCTCCGATGCCGTTCTTCGCCTGTCTAGCGCATCCTGGCGAGCAGTAGCGCTTTCGCTTAAGCTTTGCTTTGTGTTCCAGCTTGCCGCACTGCTCGCAAGCCACCATGTCTGAGGCTGGAGCTGACGCTATTCCACTTGGCTTCATGTCCTCCTGCATGGCTGCCTTTTTCTCTGCGAAAAGTGAAAGTGACGTGGTGAGATTGGGACTATGTGACAGTGGCAGGGGGGTATACTCACTTGGAGGCTCGTCGCTGACGTCCTTATCAGCATAGCGCTGCCTGGTGACGGGGAAGGGCTCGTTGGCCTCCTGTATAATGAAACCGTCGATGACGTGGGTTAGGACATTCGGCTTTATCATCGCCTTGGGCAGATCCTTGGACCCATTGCTGTTGCTGGACGTGGTGGTTGTGGTAGTGCTCGTGCAACTTGTGGTTGAAGAGCTGCAGCTGGTGGTGGTTGTACAAGCGGTTGAGCCAGCAGTGCTACCTGCCGTCGTTCTGGTCATTCCAATTCCATTGGTGATCGTTGTCGTCGTTGGAGTGGATGTCGCGGACGTGGAACCGACGGAGGCTGCCACCTTGGGTTCTTCCTTCCCACTGGCACTGGTGGGGGTGGAGCTGCTGCTCGTTGGCTGTACTGCATTGCTTTGTTTACTAGTGGGAGTGGTGGCGACTTTCGAGGGCGTCGAAGCTCGATCTGAAGCTTCTCCGTTGGGCAGAGCCTCGCTCGTGGAACTACTGGCCTCCACGGGTGCACTGACATTGGCGGGAGTGGAGGATTTGGGTGTGGTGCAGGTGTCATGTCCCGATACCGGCGTCATGGGCGAATCAATGGGCACCAGGGTGGCGGTGGGCCCTTTTGAATGTGTCTCCTTGGTGGGCGTGGCCGGAAAGCTTCCTCCTCCGCTACTGGCACTGCTGAGGGTGACCAGCTGACCCGGCGATGGAGTGACAGCGGTGCTAGTCACAGAAACAGTCACGGGCGGGGCAGTAGACAGGTGGCCCACCGTGGCATTCATCATTGAGGTCATGGCCAGAATGGGATTTGTGGTGGGAGAGGGCGTGGTGGGTGTAAGGGAAGGATGTCCCTGCTGCTGCTGTTGAGAGGCCGCTGCAATGGTGGCGCTGATCAGCTGCTGCTGCTGGTGGATTTGAGCAGCTTGAGCCTGTGCCTGTGCCTGCTGCAGACTAGCCACCGTACTGCTGGAGACCAGGGGAGTGCTGCTCTGGTTGGTAATGGTGACCACACTGCTGGTGGGGAGGGAGGAGGAACTGCACGTGCCAGGCTTGGCCGTCTGGAAGATGGCGCCTGAGGCGGAGAGGGCTGCCTGCAAGGCACTGGAGGTGGCTATTCCGGCTGGAGTCGTCGTCGAAGAAACCGAGAAGGGCACGCTGCTCAGCTGCAGCTGTCCAGATTGCTGTTGTGCTTGCTGCTGCTGTTGGGCGGTCGCTCCGCCCGACTGCTGGACCACAATCTGCTGGATGATGTTCTGCTGCTGTTGCTGCTGCTGCTCCCGCTGTTGCTGTTGTTGCTGCGCTTGGGCCTGCACCTGGGCCTGAACCTGTGCCTGAGCCTGTTGCTGCAGTTGCTGCTGAATCAGTTGGTTGTGTAGCTGCTGCTGCTGTTGTTGCTGGTGGGATGTGATGAACTGGTTGGGAGCCACCTGCAGGATCTGCTGAGTGGCATTGGCGAGTGCCTGCTGCTGCTGCGCCTGCGCAACTTGCTGCTGTTGATCCCGCTGTTGTTGCTGAGCCTGCGCCACCTGTTGCGCCACCGCTTGCTGAGCGTTCACCTGCTGCTGCTGGGAGACTTGTTGTTGCTGCTGCTGATGTTGTTGCTGTTGCTGCGCCTGAACTGCCGCCTGCTGCTGCTGCATCTGGATGGCGGCAATCTGCTGCTGGAACATTTGCTGTTGCAGGAATTGCTGCTTTTGAATCAGCTGCAGCTGCTGTTGCTGTTTGTCCACTCCAGCCGTAGTGGCTGCATGAAGGGTCTGTCCATTCTGAAGGGTGATAGGAGTGCCCGTCGTGCTCATCACAACCATTCTGCAAGGATTTGGACATAATTAGTTGGGTTGGATCAATGATGAACGAGGTCTACTCACTTGTTGCCCGCCGCATTGACCACCTGCTGGAGATTCGTCGCCTGCTGCTGCTGCTGCACGGTGGTTAGGTGACCGACCACCTTGTTCTGGCCCGCGACCTGGCCATTCTCTGTTTTCAAGGTGGGCAAAGCTGGTCGCACCGGCTGTTGCTTGTTGCGCATCTTGGCTTTCAGCAGACTCTGATTCTGCGCCGTCTGGGTGGACACGGAACTGGCCGGACGCACTTGAGTTCCATTGTGCGGCATGATCGGGGCTCCCGGCCGCTGCAGAGCAGCTGCTGTGAGTTGTTGCTGCTGCTGTTGCAGCTGGGCAGTGGCCACGGCCAGCTGCTGCTGCTGCGTCTGGTTGGTGGTGCTTCCCTGCTGCTGCTGCTGCTTGGGAGCGAGTGCATCGAGCTGGGTTCGTGCCTTGGTGGGAGTCTGGGTCACATTGCACTGGATGATTTCTGTGGGGAGACGGTTTGATTTAGTTCCGAAGGCAGTACGGTTGTAATATTTATTCTTACGGTTTTGCTGTGTCTGCAGGGTCTGAGTCGCGGGCTGCTGTTGGATGAACATGCCCTGCGTCCCGTCTGGCTGGTTCCGGAGGATGATCTGGTTGGAGCCGAAGGGCTGAAGCCCTGCCGCATTCGGCCAGAATCCCCAGGGGATCTGCATTTGCGCCTGGCCCGCGTTCAAGAGCTGGGCAGTCTGAACAGACTGGGCGCCCACTCCGACTGGCAACGTCGACTGCGAAACCTGGACGCACTGCTGGGTGGTTTGGGTGGTCTGCTGCTGCTGTTGCTGGACCTGCTGCACCTGCTGGGCCTGGTTCGACCCAGCGGATCCCGGTCCCGTCGCAGCCTGCACCGTGCTGCTAGTGGTGGTCACCTTCTGAACAACTTTCTGGGCCAGCTTGCCCTGCGCATCTACCCCCACTTTGGCCAGAGCAGCCAGCTGCTGCTGCTGCTGCTGTTGTTGTTGCTGCTGCTGCTGGGTGAGCTGCTGCTGCTGCTGGTTGAGCTGTTGCTGCTGCTGCTGAGTGAGTTGCTGCTGCTGCGCTGCGGCGGCCATCGACTGCAGCAGGTTCTGCTGTTGCTGCGGAGAGTGGGAGATGACATTCATCGGCGAGATTAGCAGCGTCTGGGGCGACTGGTTGTGGTTCGTGGGAATGCAGGTGGCATAGTTGCCGCCGGCGAATCCCGCCTGGCCCGCGATCATTTGCTTGGCGTTCTGCGGCGTGGTGGTGAGCATCTGAGGGCCGTTGCCCTGGAAGGGCTTGCCGGCGGTGATGACCTGGATGGGCTGCTGGCCGAGGCCACCTGGCTGCAATAGATTGCCCGACAGGTACAGGAAGCCGGTCGAGGGCTGCATCAACTGCACTGTCCTGCCCTGCGACCAATCCCCGCCCACTCCGCCGGTGGCAGCCGCCAACTGCATCGGTGACATTGTGCTGATGGCAGTGGAGTGCTGCTGCTGTTGTTGTTGCTGCTGGCTTTGCTGCGAGTTGGCTGGACTAGGTGCTCCGCCGGCGCCGCCCGAGGCTGCTCCTCCCCCTCCACTGGCGTCCGAGAGCTGCTGCTGCAGTTGCAACTGCTGCTGAACTTCCAGGATGTTGGCTGCATGCTTCAGCTCGGTTCCCCCGCCGCCAGCCGTGTGCGTGGGAAACTCCTGCTTCACCTGGATGGCATAGGGATTGCTCGCGTAGAACTGCTGCAGCTGCTCCGGTGAGATCTGCAGCGGCACCGTGGTGGTGGTGGCCACCTGCTGGCCGGGATTCTGCGCCTTCTCCAGCGTGAGACTGGTGTGGCGGGCGAGGGCGTGTGAGAGGGTAAGAGAGTGGGAATTCGAGTTGGAGCTAATGCTAGTGTTGGGTGTGCTGGGTGCACTGGGCCTGCCCGGTGTGTTTGGGGTATGGGTGTGTCTGCGGGCAGTGGGCGGAGTTCCGTGGCGATGACTTGTGGGTGTGACTGTGCCTGATGATACCGTTCCCGTTCCTGTTCCTGTACCTGATCCTGGAGTCGCCTGCTGCTGGGCAATGCCGGGATGGGGGGGACTGGCCACATCGTATTTCTCGTCGAAAGTGATGCCCGCCTTCTGGGCGAGCGTTTCTAGGCACTTCAGTGGCCGCTCAAGCTGCTTGCCGCCGGCCTGCTGTTGTTGCTGCTGCTGCTGGTGGTGTGGATGCTGGTGTGGATTGGGTGCGTTGTTGTTGTTGTGGTGGCTATGGTGTAGGGGCTTCTCGCGAATGTTGGAGTTGTCCTTGAGGGGTAGAGTGCCACCTGCTGATATGGCCGATGATGGTGTCCCCTGGGATGCTGTGGTGCTTACTGTTGTGTTGGTGGTGTCGCTTTCTGTGTCCGCTCTGTGGGATCAGAAGAGAGAGGAGTTCCAGGGATCAGTAAACATTTGCTCAACTCAATAATGAAAGAAGAGTAAAATATGTTGGGACCACACGCAAACAAAGCTGGAGAATCAGTGTTCCTAATGGTCTTCTCTTGTCCTAGCAACAAACAATAACAAGGCAGTGCAAACAGGTTGTTAGCATCCCCCTCCCACCACCCCTGCCCACTTTCCTCCCTTTCCCATCCTTTCAAACAAACATAATCAAGAAAACATGCTGCTTAACCCAGTGCTTTTAGCCAAGATGCCACTTAAGATGTGAAAACTACTTCAAAGCCTTAAATTAAATTTGTTTAGGTAATCAATAAGTACATAATTGAAATCAGCCACCGTTTTTATACTTTAATAAGGTTAGTGGTAGTAGAAGACCACTTCTTAATCGGAAAAGGAAAAATGTTTATAATATTACATCCAAGGATTATATATAAAAATATTGTTAATACAAAAATTGTATGAAATCAAAAAAAAAAGTAAAATAGTTTTAAATCAATCAACGCTACACCACAATATAGAAAATAAATAAGACTAATAACCCTTTTTTTATTTACGCTGGCTTCGTGGTAAATACTTCAATCTGGGTTTAGTCATTTGAAAATGTGTGAGACAAATGCTGGAACTAACAAACAATAGTCATCTTATTTAATGAACATATTTGCAGGGTAAATATTAAAGATGACGGCTTGAGAGTGCCAGAAACAAATGCGGGAAAAGCAAATAGAGCCAAAAAGGTGGAGAATTTTCAGTTTCCAGATCATATATTCACAATTTGAATCACTTTCAAATCACTGCTATAAATTTTTAAACAAAAGTAGACCAACAACGAGTGATTGGGAAAGAGTGTCCCCTAGTTTTCTTTTAGGTAGAGAGACCCCGATCCCGATCCCTATTCCTTCATTTTGTATACCTTTGCTGTATACGAATACCCGCCCTTTTTGAGCGACAATAAACATTTGGCAAAATGCGAAAAGGACTTTATTGAAAGCAAAGAAAGGAGCAGGCCGACAGCCATCGCATCGATCTTTATCTATGGGTTTGCTTTTCGAATTTCCATTTCCATGTGAAGCACCGCAGCCGTACTCGTTTTCCTCATTGGAAAACACAAGCCGGGAAACTAATTTAGCCACGCAGCTGGCACCGTTTGATATTATTGTAGAGGGACAATAAAGCCGATGCGAATTGCAGACGAAGTTCAAGGACCTTCCCATCGAAATGCTAAAAATGCTGACAGTTGGGAGCAACGCGAGATGGTTAGTGTTTTATACAGCTGCGGTCAAAGTACCAGGCCTAACGGATAGACGCTAATATCTGCAGTATTCTATAGGGCATAGCCAGGGAACCGTGAAATCTTTTATTGCAATAATTACGCTTTCAGAATAATTAAGAATCTACCTTAATTATTATTAGTTATTATATTTTAAAATTATTATTACACTCTTTAAAGAGTTATAAGAAGAATTTTTAATAAAATATGTAAATTAAATTGAAAGTGTAATTATAAACAATGCAAAACTTTTACCTGGGGAAATTTCGTGCTTTAAACGAAACTACATTTTTTTAAAACAAAATGTAATTAAGAAATTTCCCTTTAAACAAAGAATATAAAATACACTTGAGAATATACAGTGTAATATGTTATTATATATTATAAAACTTATGATTGGTATGGAATATAAGAATGAATTTAACAAATAAATAAATCTTGAACACTGGGTCCTATTTTGTTGACCTCAGCTGTGATGCCGAGAGGCTGATCCCTCCCCCATTCCTCTTCCCCTCGCCCAAAAGCCCGCGAGGCACATAAAAAGCAAGAGCATAAAAGGCAAAAGTGGAAAGAAGGCAGAAGAGCAAGCGAAATGGGTTATAAAAGCCGGTAAAAGCATTTCGGTAACCCTCATGTCGCAGCTACCCCTGGAAAACACAAAAAGAAGGGGGAAGAACAGGGGGTGGTGGGCGGTTTAGAGGGGTGGATTTCTCGCCACGGGCTGGTGGGTGTGCGTGCGTGTAAGTTCAGCTCACAGCCACCCGCAGTGAAAAACCTCTTGAGAAAAAAGAAAAAGAGACTGGTTTCCCAACTTGGTGTTTGGTATGTATGTACTATATGTATGTGTGTGTAATAGCCAACAAACAATTTTGTTGCAAGCAGGGGAAAAGCAGTAGCAGCAGGGAAGGAATGATAAAAATGCGGGGGAAACAACACACACACGTACACACATGCGCTCAAAAGAGAGTGGGCGGAGGGGAGCTCGAGCTCTCCAAATTCAAATCAAACATCAGTTCCAGAGGAATCAGGCGTGCAAAATTTACAGGAGCGAGTGAGACGGTGACATGACAGCCTATTGATTGATACACAAACGAGTTTGCAATCGAAAGAGATAACACAGATAAGAGTGAGCGAGATGAAGCTATGGCACACAAACTCACTCACCGACTGCGGTGTAGCGTAGGTGTAAACAGAGTTGCCTACTTAAAAGAATATATTTAAAAAAAAATACCGATAAAACAAACATTTTTAAATTAAAATTTTGTTAAATTTTCCAAAATAGAATTTTTAAATTTGAAATTTTCAAATACAAGAGAATTATTATCAACTTAAAATTGGAGTGAAAAACATTATTAATGTAGAAAGGACAACTCTTTTCGAATCCTTATCCCCTATAAAATTTAATTCTACCGTAAATAACAAGCCAAAAACTAGTTAATTTTTTTCTTGTCACTGCTGACAACCCTGCTTTCGCAAACTGAGAGAGCAACCAGGGTTGCCGCATGCATTTTCAGCAACAAAAAACTTCTACTCTTGGCATAGAACTCTTGTTTTTTTTTTAATGGTGCTTTGGCGATTGAGTGAGAGGAAGGGAGAGGAAAAATCAACCACCACCAGCCGACGCACAAACACACAGGCATGCATTGCGAAATTCGTTGTTGTCAACAATGCAACATCGCACAGCAGGGGGCGTGTGACGGGTGCGGAGGGAGGGGTGAAGGGCAGGGCTGTCGCAGGGGGAAACTCGTTTTGGGTCTTGTGCATTTTTTCTCTTCTCCCGCCACAGAATATTTCGTGCTGTATTTTTACGAGAAAGATGATTAACGTTTCACGATCCATACAATAAACAATAAATATTCAAGAGCATCTTCCAAAAACCCAGAACAAATAACAAAAAGCACGAGTGCATTGCAGGCAATACAAGCCAAAAAAAAAAGAAAAAGAAAGTGTAATACAAATTAAACAAAACCAAACGAAAAATACCTTTTTTGCATAAACTTCAATGCACGACGATCCATTATTCAAAATAAAAACAATATGTGTAATAAATTAAAGGTATGCATGCGTCGGCGGTGGCGTTTTGTTTCCGTATTTGTTTTTAGCGGCGGCGGACACACTATTTGGTGTTGGTGTTTTTGTTGTTTTTATTGTTTTTGTTGGCATGGCACTTTCTTTTTGGTTTGGCCTTTAGTTGTAGTTTTCTTTTGTATTGTATTGTACATTAATTAAAACACACACACATATGTACATTTATGGGGAGGCAATAAATATAAACATACAGCAGGCAACAACAAACATATATATGCATGTAACGTGGAACGCAAGACAACAAAATGTACACAAAAACGAAAACGAATACGAAAATCCGACGAAAGACCCAGGTCTCGGTGTGTGTGTCTGTGTGTGTGTGCTTGCGTGTAAATGAGTGTTTCGTGCACGGGCAGTAGTAATTAGTACAAACTCCACTCACACTCCACTTCCACTCTCTCTCCCTTTCCCCGCTGGCAGCAGACACTCTTTGCTTTTCTCTCAGTGCAACGATTGAGCACCTGTGCACGCGATCTTACATAAAAAAGATAATAAAATTCAGCAGCGACAACTCTTGAGTCTAGACGCTTGTTTTCATTTCACTGCCTACGTCGCCAGCGACGGTTCGCCAGCAAGGGTATCCACTGTGGCGCGGCATCACTTTTCCATGTCAAACATCCGCACTCACTAATAAACAGCCGTTAGCCTAAGCACTTTTCGAAAAAAAAAATAATAAAACAATTTGTAGGGCATCAAGTGTGTGCGTCGCGTCGGCGCGAGAATTTTCCGCCGTTTCCAATACACATGCATACGATACGACACCAACACGAACGCAGAGCAGAGCGAAAGAACCGCACGCCGCCAAGTTTAGTTTCAATCTGAACCGTGAGCCTCGGCGACAACTCTGCTCTGGGAAACAAAATTAAATGCGAATGTGTGTGTGACGGTGTGTCGGTGTGCGACTGCGGGAAGGGGCAGCTGGAACGAACCCGTTTTCGTTTCGTCTCTCGACGACTAATAACTTTTCTCTATACCGAAATGCGCGGGTGCGAGTGAAACGGCACTAGGGGCGGCCCGGGCGAGAGAGCGCGTGCGAGCGGGACACCCTCTGCTCGCTTGGGGTTGGAATGAAACGGCAGCAGTTCGTTTTGCAGGGCAAAACGAGTAAAAAACGCAGGAATTGAGGCTACAGCTGGCGGGCATGTGTGTGTGTCCAACCACCCCGACTGTGGGCCCCTTCCCCTGCCCCTGCTGAAAAAATATCCGCTACCGAATCCAGTTTTCTGTGTCTGTACACTCGAATGTCTACCGCCCGAGCCCGATGCCGATTGTTGCTATACTTCATCTTCTTTTTTTCGTTCCATCACATCGCAACCACCACTGCCTACCTACCTCTCCCACTCCATCTGCTCTGCCGCCTTCTCCCTTCCACCCCTCCGCGCTTCCTGTTTCTGTTGCTGTTTCGCATCGGATCGGATCGGCTTTACTTTATTATTAGTTGTGCTTGTCGGAAACAGACGTTGGAAGAGGAAGAGGAGGGGTGGCGTATGCGCAGAGGCAGAGCGAAATGCTTTTTTCACTCACTCTGCCGAACAGTGGCATGCGATCCATTATTGTTGCACAGTGAAGCACTCTCCATTGCGCCTGTGCTTTAAAATATGGCAGTAGAATTTCGCTTAGATTGAACCAAAGAATTTAATATTTTTTTTAGAAGTAATAACTTAATCATCTATTAATTACTCATTACTGAACAAAAAATAATTCAAGTCCGAAATAAAGATTAGTTTTGTTATTTATAATTATCGTTTATTATGATAAATATATAAAATAACTTAAATTTTTTAATGATCTTTATGCCATAAAAATTAACACGATATATTATAGAACAACCGCTAGCATTACTTGTAATTTAATTTATTACTCATTTTAGTATATTTTTTACACTACATACCCACCACTCTTGTCCCACTGTGCCTGTCGTTGGCATTTCATTTTTCATTTTGTGCTGCCTATGTGTGTGCATAGTTGTATGGGTGCGTTGCTTTGGGCTCTTGTCGGTCTTCTTGCTTCCCTTTCCACCTCGCTTCCTCCAACAACAACGTTGCTGAGCTCCACAAATGCTCATCATTCCGATCGCTTTTGTTGTTCGACAGAATTTCGTTTCGTTTCATTTCTTTTGCTTTTGCTGCCGCCATATTATTTTTATGCTCGTTAAGTGCTTTTGTGCTCCCGCTCTCTTTGCTTTTTTATTTCTTCTAGTGTGTGTGTGTGTGGTTGTGGGTTCAGCTTGGCATTCGGTTTTTTCGTTTTTTTCGCCGAGCTTTTTTCTTATTAGTTGCCCGCCTCCTACTTCTCCCCTATTTCCCTCTTTCGCCTCTTCCTCGCACGCTCAACTGTACAAGAAGTCGAGCATGCGCTCTTCCTCTTGCCATTCAGTTAATTGCCTCCAACTTATTGGGTTGTTGTTGTTGGGGTGAGTGCTGTGAGTGGGGTTGGGGTGTGAACGAGAGTGAGAGAGAGAGAGCTAACATTTGCATTTCGTAAAAATGACAAATACTTAATGAGTGTAAATTGCTTTGCGCGTGTTCTCCTCACACTCGCGCATTGCCTTTCGCTCTGGCGCATTGGCATTAGCATAAATCCCTCCCCCTCGCTCGCTGTAATAGAAACGCACACGCACACATACCTGTACCTGTGCGGGGTGTTGTTGTTGTTGTTTTCCTGTTGCTGTGGGCAATTGCCAGAATTTCCTACACCATTTTTGTTGGAATTATCAACATCTGCATATGTACACACCAACGGTTGTGCATGTGGACAGGATATACGCCTGTGTGCGTGCCTTGAGTGATAATCAAAAGTGGGTTTGTTGTTTTTGTTTTCTCTGGCCTTATTGCAAACGTAATGAAGTCCGTTCCAGAGACAGCGACATTGGGTTTTATTGCCATAAGGCGTGGCCAGAAATAAAAATGGATCGCAAAAGATCATTAAATAAATGAAAGTTACGCAGATTCTTTTCCATTCTGATTCTGAAGACTAAACCAAATCGAAATATAAACTTTCGTATCAAAGTCTATAAAAATATATGCGTAGTTATGATGATAATCCTAATTTTTAAAAATATAAAAAATAATACATGTATACAAATGATATTTGTTTTGGTCTTCAGCTCAATTTACCTTATAGTAATACAAGTATTAAGAAAACCTTTAGTGTAGATCATGTTCTTTCAGAGAGGCAAAGTAACAAACTGCTAATTGAAATTCCTTACACTCTACTGGAAAAAGTCTATGGAGCACACCCCTATAAGGGATAATTCCAATCCCTAATGTTTCTTTCTGTAACAGCCCCTAGTTCCCTTATTATCACAAAGTCTCCATTGTTAGCAACTCACCCCGTGTGCATTATATTTGCCATTGTCCTTTTAGAACACTTAATTGACCTGTCAAGTCATGTGTAGCGTAAACAGGAAGTCCTCGAACTTGGCTCGAAATCCGTAGTGGATGAAATATTTTAGTGGTACTTTAGGTCGTTCTTACATAGTGACAGTGGCATACGCTTTCCAAGGACTACCAAGGTAAATTCCTAACTAATTTAAAATGGGCTATAAAGTATATTGTAGTTACAATCTTAATTTGTTTGCCTTCGGCGGTACAACTATTTAAAAGGATCTTAAACATGCAATGAGTTATTAACAAGATAACATGGTAATAAGAGTTTAAATCTCTCATGTTCTTACAGTTACGTCCCCTCTGTAAAAATAAACCCATCGAAACTGTACTTAGACTTGCGATTCAATTCGATCCTCCAGAAAACAAACAGAAAGCCAAAAAAAAGGGTTGTGCCCTCTGACACTTGCCATGCGACCTTTTGAACCAATGCAACCCACCCTTCTCCACCATTTTTCGTCTCGACTCGACGAAACGATTTCCCAAACAAACATGATACAATTACCCTCAAAAGAGAAACAATTCGGATATCCGAATGGGGTGTTCGGAATCCAACCCCTAAGCTCATTAGGGGTGTGAACGAGCTGTTGGAATTGCGGAAAATGCAGGCATACCGCGTAGTATTTAATCCCTAGAGCCCTCCTTTTTGGTAACTGCATGTATCGCTTAAATCGTCAACTAATAATGTCATTGTTGGGTTTTCTATTGGATTGGATATTCTTAAAAGGGCATCGATACCTTTTACCTTTTTTTCTAAAATTTTAGAATAGTTTCTTAAAAATTATGTATTATATCTTATGATCTTATGATTGTATCTTCTTAACTGGACTAGTAAAATATTCATTAAAAACGGGTACTATTTGTGCTTTATTGAGTATATTACGTCACGGGAACCGCCATTTTTATCGTTTTCCTATACTGATTTTAAATATTTGATTCACACTTTCCAACTAAATAATTTATATTTATATGTTTTCAAAAACGATTGTGCTGAGTATATAATATAGAGATTAAAACCTTGACAATAACACTGCAAACCATTTAATGTGTATTATATCGTTAAAAGGCTTACACAAGCCTTTCTTCAGAAATTATTAAAAATTGCAGTTATAGCCAAAATAACAATCGGGCTTTTTAAGAAGTACATAATTATTTTGTTATTATAATGGTTCTTTCAAATATTACTCGTTCCACATTTTTTGGACAAAACAAGTATTCAAAATCTTAGACAGCCTCCTTCTAAAATGAATTATACAATGTGGTGAACTGACAAAATATAAAGTATCTATATGTAACATTTTGGAAATAATTAGCGAAAACCTGAAACTATTTTTAAATACCTCCATTTTGTTCCCAATACAACAAGAAAACACAATGCCTAGAAAAATGCCGACGGAAGATCGAAGCGAATAAAAAATGGGCGCACCACCAAAATAATTGTTTTCTTTTCAAAAGGGGCTTGAGAGTGTGACAGGAACAACACCATTGTGCAGCCTGCAAGCGAGAACGTGATGGAGGTATACTGGGTGGTTAGGGGTGGGGGATGCTCACTGTTTCGGTGGGCGTGGCCTGTGCGTGTGTGGTGAGTTCGAGTGACAGTATAACAGTTGTTATGCGAAAACAAAATGGGAAAGATTTCAAAAATGTTTAGTTATTCAATAAAAAACCATCTTAATAATTTAATGTAAGTAAATCTAGTGTATGTACTGCGTACAATGTAAAAAGTTCGTACTTGAAATCATATCTTGACATTTTTTTGCGCCTACTTTTAATTTTTAACGAGGGTCAAAATGTTTTTATGTTTGATTTCCAGTATTTCCAATGGCTTTCAGAATGGGAACCCAAAACGGCACTTCTAAATTCCATAACTTTGGTAGTTAGATCCCGATTTTCAAAAGGGACACCCTTACGAGTTTGTGGTTGAATTCTCTAATATTCTACATTAAAATTTGTCTTTTAAACGAGAGTCAAAATTTAAACCCATTTTTATGTTCGATTCTTCCGTATTTCCAATGGCTTTCAGAATGGGAACCCAAAACTGCACTTCTAAATCCCATAACTTTGGTAATTTAATCCCGATTAAGACGTGGGATACCTTTATGAGTTTGTGTCTAAATTCTCTATAAATCTACGTTCAAATATTTGTTTTCAGATATGGTGAAAATTTTAACCCATTTTCATGTTTGATTTTCCCTTATTTCCAATGGATTTCAGAATGGTGACCCAAAACTGCTCTTCAAGATTCCATAACTTGAGTTATTGGATCCCGATTTTCATGTCGGATACGTCTATGAGTTTGTGTTTGAATTCTCTAATATTCTGCATTTAAATATTTCAATTACAAGAGGGTCAAAATTTTAACCCGGTCTCATGTCAGATTTTTCTGTATTTCTAATGGCTTTCAGAATGGGAGCCCAAAACTGCACTTCTAGATTC